ATTAGAATGCTCTTCATTGCCCCCGATAATATAATAATAAGATAATATAAAAATACGAAAATGACAAAAGTTGTATTACTTCTGTTAATGCCACATTTACACATATATTTTACATATTTTACATTACATTACAATGGCTGTAAATTGAAGGGTGCAATAATTTTGAAGGTAGAAGGTAGTAAAAATGTCTTGAACCAAATAAACCCTTTAAAGATGCACAATGTAACTTGTTGTCGATTCCACCACTGTCTTGTCTTATTATTGCTTTGCCTGGAATGTTCCTCACTATGGCATTAAATGTATCCATCTCCATGGATACAAGTAGGTGACTCCACAAGGCTAAACTACACAGGTCCAATCTGTGGAGGGATGAGCCCATTCACAGTAATAATGCATGTTTTTCAAGCTATTTTTGAACAATAAAACACCAGTAATGGAATATGTTTAATGCCATACTATGGAACATTCCAGGCAAAGCAATAACATCTCCACGGAGACTAGAAGATTGGCTGACCCCTCCCCAGCAGAAAAGCTACACAGTTCATTTTAGGATGATTTGTGTAACAATTTTAGTTTAATATGGACCAATTAGCATGCATTAAAGTTCCTCTGCATTCCCCCTCTGCAGGTTAAAATTGGTATTACATTATTACCTGCATAAAGATGTGGCACTCGTCGACAAAGGGCCCGCGCGTGATGTGTTTGAAAACCTCACAGATGTCGGGCAGAGACTGGGCCCTCTGTATCTCAGCCTGATGATGGTGGATCAGGGTCAGAGCCACTCGGAACACGATCTTTGAGCCTTCATAAAACAGACAGTCCCAAATCCTCAAGACCGTCTGTGGGAGGACGTTTAGGACAGAAAGTAAGACACAAGTTTATTAACAATTTAACTAAATCACAATAAATTGACATGTGTATTTATTGTCTTATTTATTCAATTATAAACCATTATATGATCAATATGCCCCTTCTGCTGTTAAGAGACTTTATAACGGGGCAGAAGCTGATGCCAATCCCATACTGTAACCACCTGTGCTATTTTTGTATAGATAGATGAGATGGTTCAGTGTAAAAACAAGCAGATAAACAATAGTTTGTATATCTTTTGGGGGTAGTATCCCACTAACAATTTTAAGATTATGTCAATCCAACTAACAGGTGTTAAAACTGTCTTTAATTAAATATTTATGTATAATTATTAGTGGAGGCATAAGTAAGAATGACAAAAATGTGAAAGGCATGAAATATTATAATGCAATTTTTATTATTATTGTTATGTATTATGTATGATTATGATTATGATTATGAATATTATTATGATTATGTATTTGTATTATTACTAATTAGACACTCATAATATGGTATTCAAATTCAAACTTCCACGATAATATCAACATATCGATTATCTGCCCACCTCTAATTAATAACATGAGTTTTTGTATTATTAATCCTAAACAAAAAAGTTACTAAACTTCTTGGCAAAATCTCTAGGCAGTCAAGTTCACAATCGTGTTCATTCATCACATGCTCAGAATGAACGTACTGTTTGGGGTCCCACATGTATGCGTGTTTTGTTCAATAGTGAAAAATGACATTTGGATTTATTCTAATTTAATCCATAAACAGATAGAAAATGCTCCCGTTTCACAGCTAGGACATGGGTTTGGTCTCCAATGCCTTCTTTTGTCCATAGAATGGATATATAACAAGTGTGCCCATTGTGAACACGTGGTTGGCCAGTTTTAGGCATATGGGACTGATTCAATTAGAGAATGTATCTATATAATTTACTTAACTAACTTGAAACAAACTCTTAAATTAGATCAGATCAATGGGCTTCTGTGGTCTTGCTTGCTTTAAACGTGTTATTTGTACTTTGAGTGATGCAGTATTTCTGAACACTGACCTCTACTGGCAGAATATCTATGTACAGGCAGATGAACCAGCGTGACACCACTAGAGTCCACATGACGTTATTGTCCATCATCGTCTTCCAGACCCCCGGCGCCTTCTGACGGACCAGCTCCCCCAAAACCTCCTGGTCTGTCTTTAACCCCAGCATGGCAGGAGTGTAATAATCTGTACACACAACAGGTTATAAATCTTATATAGTAAAGGAAGACATAAAAGAATTAAGATCACAATTTTGGTAAATAGTAGGTCTGTCACAATAACAAATTTTTAAGCACTACCACTGCTACTACTGCTACTGCTACTACTGCTACTGCTGCTACTACTACTGCTGCTACTACTACTGCTGCTACTACTACTGCTGCTACTACTACTGCTGCAGCTGCTACTACTACTGCTGCTACTACTACTGCTGCTACTACTACTGCTGCTGCTACTACTACTGCTACTGCTACTGCTACTACTTCAATATACTTTATGCCATTGAAGATTAAAATAAAGGGGGTTTATAATCCTAATGAACCAATAATTAGCTCAAATCTTACCGTTATGAGTGGAAATTCAAAATAAGATCAAATAAAACTAATGACAACAATATATAATCTGGAATAACAATAGAAGAAATACGCTGAATAAAATACATTTGAAAAAGATCCATAATTGCAGTTAAGACGCACCTGGCAATATTCTTCCGATTAGAGCATCCATGAGCCAGAAGGACTTTTCTTCATCTTTAGTAATGATAAGCAGATAACCAGCAATAAAGTTCATTCCCTGAGAAAAAATGAGAAGAAAAAGTCAACTATAGAGAAGCTACATAGAAACTGTTCAATACAATTCAATTTTATTTATAAAGCACATTTATAACAACTTTATCCAGATCAAAAGAGACCAAAGAGTCATAAAAGTCAACCAAAAAAAACAGAAATTGTGTATTTGTGTTTTTCTGTTTTCACAAAAATAAGTACGACAAGTGCTTGGGCTATTTGATTATTCAAATAGGATAGATGTTGTTAACAATACACTGTAGCAACAAAGAACATATTAACTTAACTTAGGATTCAGGAAATTTCTATGAGGACAGAAATATAGAAATATATGCAAAAACCTCTGCACATGAACCGTGATATTTGACTTTCAAATACCTCCTGGAAAAGTCTTTTACATTTTCAGAGTATTTTCATCTCACATAGAGATGTGGTACCTGGCAGTAGCCCACAGCCTGGTTGTGATGCCCATAGGCCCGCAGCACATTGTACAGGGATTTCAGTTGGCACTGGTCTGACATCTTACGGAAATTTATGTTGTCTGGAAATGTTCTGTTTAGGTCTGAAAAAGAGAATAATAATGTAGATAGTTTAAAGGTCCTATATTATACAAAATTGACTTTTGACCATGTTAGAATACCGTTACCTCATCATAAACATACCTGGAGTTGTGTTTTGTTTGGTTATTATAAGTCTGTCTACATCTCCAAAGCTCAAAATGCTCTGTTCCACTTTGTGATATCATGAAGCAGTAGTTTTCAAGTTAACAGCTACCTTTTACCTTTTGTTCAGTAGAGATTGGCAATTCCAGGGTTGAAATTGTCCAGATGATTCTAGTGAAGGTGTATGGAGTTTTAAAAACAAAACGGAGCACTTTATGTATTACCACATGAAATCAGAAAGTGGAACAGAGTGTTTTCAGTTTGAGAAAAGAACTCAACCTTTTGTTGTGTGAATTAAAACAAAACACAACTCCAGGTATGTTTTTGATAATGAAAGAACAGTATAACATGGGTCAGAAAATAGCACAATATGCTCTTTAAAAGACCACATTCAGACCTGTGCTTATGGTCTCCAGGAGTTTAGGGTCTTGTTGTGCTGAAAGCAGTGACTGGTAAAATCCTGGGTTCTTCTCCATTTGATCCTGAGCCCCACTGGCCATCATCCAGATTAGGCTCCGGTGCTCGTTGGGAATGCCTTTACGAACATAACGTTTTACTGAAGCAAAGAGAAGAGAGTTAGTTTGAATTTAACACCACACAGAGACAGACAGGCTGTTGACACCTACATTTGGCATTCTTCTGGACTCTGTTTTTGCCTTTGAAGAGTTTGGACCACTTTATGGATCTGCGAGTGAGAATGGTGAGGTAATGGGACATGATCTCCTCGTACGAGCTGTAGTCAAAGTCTTCAGAGCGCTCGAAGCCATAGGGGTCCACACTGCAGGGGGACAGTTAAACAGATTTGAGTAAAATTATCATGACAAATACCGTGTAAAAAATATTCATGTTTCAGCCCCCTGTTTTATACAACATTTTGAGGACTTCAATAATAATATAATAAGAGATAATATATTGCTTTCAAATGTATTACCGTCGCAACTGTCCTAATTTTTTATGGTTCAGAAAAATAAGGATAAGCTAATTGTGCAAATGGACAGCCTATTTTTTTTATTTGTTTGTTTTTCACAGTTCGATGTCAAAACAAATCAAAAATGTTTTCTAAATTTTATCTAAATTATACTTTAAAAAAACAAACAAATTTCTATTAACTACCTTTTTTGGAGTCAGCATTAGAAAACCTATTAGAAACATAAAAGATGTGTCCATGGACTCCATGCTCAAAGTATGCATAAGAGAAACAATATTGCTTATCAGTAAAACTTAATATGTTTGCCCTTCATCGACCAAATGGTTTTATTTGTGGTTTCATGTTGACCTGAATGACTAAGAGCATTTGCAGTCTTTGCATTCTACACTCTTTATTTTATGTCTCGTATTAAATGACTCACGGTGGATATTTTTCACTTTCTATTTCCTGTTTCTAAATTTATAAAGTAGACAGTAGCTATGTATGAAGTGCCTTAAAGATGCTTAGGTAACACGCTAATCTGAGAACAGCTTAAGTCTTGACCAGTGGAGACATGCACCTCACCTGAGACTGAACTGAGTATAGTCCACATACAAACGTTAAATTAACATTACTGTAAAGGGGGCAGGTAAATCAACCACAGTCAGGGCTGCTGATGTAAATACATACAGTACAGTGTTATCAGCAAACATTATGCACTGGATGGGGGCAAAACAAGACAGTGAAATTAGAGTTACAGCATCACATTCTGTCTAGGGAATATTTAATACTCAACTACTATGCAATTCCACTTTTCGCTTAAGTCTGAAATCATTCCAAGTACCCCATGGCAAGTGCTCACTGAATTATAACAATAGTTAGTCATGAAAACTGAAAGTTAAGGAAGTATCAATAACATAATGTACACCTCTTCATTGAACTGAATGTGTAGCCTGTAAAATGATCGTTGCATTATGCATTTAACATGTGTTAGGTCATGAGCATCTAGTTTAACCATAGACTGTATAATATATATTTATATATAGGCTACAATCTACGTTTTAACAAATAAGTTATGATGTTTAACAGATAACAGTGTTACTTTTACTTAGTACCATAAATAGGTTATATATTGTATGTCTTAAGTTTCTGTGCACACATTAACAGCTGTTTTATGAGGTTGCAAACATATGGACGTCTTTTATCAGTCTATTTATATTTTATTTGATTCTGTAGTCCATGTCAGTCCACACCCTTTTGTCTCATCATTCATCAAGTCAGATTGCGACAATATTTTTTCGCAGTTTTGCAAGGATTTTAGTCCCCAAAACATAATAATAATACTCCTCAATATATGTTTGTATTCTCATCATCTTAATTTCTACCATAACATATTTAGATTTTATTTTATTTACTAAACACCATTAGTCATTACAACAGCAAAAACTATTCTACCATGGGTCACAGCTGATAAACTTACACATCTTGGTTGGCTGGTTCAGTGGGTGCATGTTTTCTCAGCAAAGTAAATTTAAGTAAACACTAGCTTTTCCTTAGAACATGGATGTCATAGGTGTGTTATAAAGTTACCTGCCGATCCTTTCTTTCGCTTGGCTGTTGTCGACCTGAGCCCGGTACGTCTTACTATCCATGACCCGATTTGCTCCACTCGAACTCGGCTGCTTTAAGTGGAATCACCGCAATGCTATTTCAGATCCAGTGTGCATAAAGAAAGACGCAGTTTTCAAGGCAACATCTTTGACTAATAATATATAAGCGTGTTTAAAATAAATAAGAAAATAAACAAATCAAGTTTCAAATCAAATCAAGTTTCAAATCAAATCAAGTTTCAAATCAAATCAAGTTTCAAATCAAGGTTACACTTTCAGTTAGATTAGTCACTTTTTCAAATCCCTGTGCGGAGCTGCTGGAGTTTGCTTCGGGTTTATCGCCATCCAAATGCACCTGTTGTGCGACGGTCTGTGAGTCAAAAAGTAGCTTGGATTCCGCCCAGAAAACTCAAAACAAAGAAATGGGAGAGGCCTGTCCGCGGTGCAATCCCGAAACAGCTCCACGGGAGTTTTTCAGAGAATTTCTTTGAAGATTTAGGAGTTGTGAGGTCTGCCCGTGAATCTGCCCCGGGACACGGCTACTGGAGCTAATGGCGCCTTCAAGGGACGCGCGTAAATCACACTTTCTTCTTCGTAAAATCACACTTTTCAGACTTATGTCGCTTAAAAAGGATTGGCACATCTTTAATTAAACTATTTAGACTCTTGAGCTGTTATATTTGCAGCATTGGACGATTTGTTTCCTGGGATTTGTTTTAACTTTTGTTTTGTTTTGTTTCACAGAGTATTCCAGGTTGCTCTCTTTTGTATGGTAAGTAAAGGCAGCAGTAGCGGTAAAAGGGCACGCCTCCGGAAAGGACACGTAGCACAGGTGAGCTCAGAGCTGTCCAGTGGGGTATATAAGGTGCAGAGTGTATTTTGGACATGTTGAGCTGCAAAAAACAGAAATATATAGGCCTGTAGGTTTCAAATGACATGCAGGCTACAGTGTAAAATCTGTATTCAAGTAAGGTGAATTATATTTGTAACAGCCCCCACAGTGGAGTGTTATAAGTCTTGCCTTAAGACCCACTTTTATTCTCTTGCTTTTAACACTGCGTTAGTTGTGTGGTCCTCTGTGTTTTCTATTTATTTTACTTATTTACTGTTGTTTTATGATTTTTATGGTTTTACTTGTATTTGATTTTACTGTTTTTATTGTTTTAGGACTGGTATGACCACATTTTAGCAATTTACCTTGTTGTCTTCATTTTATGATCTCTGTGTAGCACTTTGGAATCTGCTTTGTTTGTGAAATGTGCTACATAAATAAAGTGGATTTGGATTTACCATGCAGAAATATGTGTGTGTGTGTGTGTGTATGGATGAATAGATGAATACTGAACATTTATTCTTTGATGATCGGGTCCAACATGTGTGGATAGGTCTTATTAAAATAGCCTAAGGTTCCGTCCAACTTACCGAGTACAGGTTTTTCCATAAATGAGAACAGAACTACTAGGATCACTTATATTGCTAAATAAGATATAGCCCACAGCTGTTTCTTGTGTAATTTGTTGACAAGTTGATTTAGCTTAACTGTACCACAGAAGGAGGCAGATTCCCAGGAACTGACAAGTTAGACAAGTCAGGAATTGTCAAAAAATGTGTGGTTGTTGTTGCATCATAAATACTGTAGACCTATTTTTATGTCTATAACTGCTGTGAGGACTTTCCTTTTCTATATTCACATTTTAGATACAATTTATCGGGCTTTGCATTTTGTCCTGAACGCCACTTGATGAGAGGCAAATGTAGTTAGTTAAACGTGATTACAGTGTGTTGTCCTACATTCCCACATACACCCAGCAACAGCAAAGTTTTCCATGGGATAAGCCGTGGGATGGGCTTCATATGAGGTGGCCTGATTTCCTCTGAGAAATTATCAGAGTAAATCGCTGACTTCAGTAATCCTGGTCATGTGACTCCTAATGTTGAGGAATGGAGTGGTGAAATGTTGTACGCATTTGGGCAAATTTGAAGGTCCTGTATTGCGCAAAATTGACTCTTGTGAGCTTTAAGCCATGTTATAATGTTGTTACCTCCTCAAAAACATACCTACAGTTGTGTTTTGTTTAATTCACACGTTTGAGTAGCCCTTTATTTCTAGTCTGTCTACATCTATCACCAAAGCTCAAAAAACCTTGTTTCACCTTATGATATCATAAAGTGGTAGTTGTCAAGTTAATAGGTACCTTTTGTCTTTTGTTCAGTAGAGATTGGCAGGTCAAGGCTGAAATTATCTAAATGATTCTGAAACAAAACACAGCTTCAGGTATGTTTATAATGAGGAAACAACATTGTAACATAGATCAGAAAATAGTGTAATATGGGACCTTTAATAGGCAGGGTAAGATCATGAAGTAGCTTTTTTGGGCCTTATGGTGAAATTGCACCAGTAAAAGTGTCTTAAATAATAACTCAACACTTAAAATAAATAAATGTTCAAAATTATCTTAATTATAATTATGGTAGTCAAACAGTATATTTTTTAAATAACATTTTCTCTCAAAAGTCTCCAGTGTTCCATTCTCTCATATAAATAACTAATTACAACATGAGGCAAAAGCTTAATTTCTTATAAACAAATGCAAATATCTTATAATATTGTTTGTAATTTTTAACCAGAACTTCTAAGCTGGTCTATAGTCAAGTTTATTTTTAACTAAGCAGTACGCAAGCTATGATAGGTCCATTTTGTTAAACTTGCCATTATGTAATTTATGGTAAAAAGCTCTTAAATAGTATATATAAATGTCTAAATCTCCATTAAGTTTTTTAATGTTTGCTTAAAATACAAATTTGCAGTGATTAGATAGTCCTTATGATGCTGTAAATTGATGTGTGTGAATACCAAAAATTGCTTGGTGAAAATTTGATAAGTGTAGGTCTATATACCATTTGAAGGTCATCATATTTACTAGAAGTGAATTGTTAATTATTTATTTTTTATCTTTTTCACATGCCCTTTATTTCACACACTAGAGACTGGAGTCTGTGTAAAGAGAGGTTTTTATTACACAGTATTAAGTTACATTACATGGGCATTTTTCAAGTTTTAAGACATTATTACTAATTCAGTGTATTTACTTTTTGATTTAAGAGCAATATTATTGAAAGTGTCATGGTTGTCTTTTTAATATTAGATCAACAAAATATACATTGTATGTAATTTCTGGAGGTGGAAAGTCACATGCTTGTTTCCATGGGAAAAAAAAAAACATACTTCGGAACATTCTCTATGGAAACATAAACATTTTATGCAGTACAGTGGAAGATGAGTCAAAGGAGCAACATTTACATAGAAAAAGGGCAGAGGCCATCCTCCAGGTAAAATAAGAGTCAAGTTTGTGGTGATGCAAACCTGTTCACAGTAAAGACGCAACTAAAAAAAAAAAAAGAAAAGTAGCTCAGTTGGCATAGTGTTTGTCATTGATCTAAAGGTTGGCAGTTCAACTCCAGCTCTTGACATAAAAACATAATTGGTTGAGCGGTCAGATCCACTGACCCACAGGTTGGTAGTGTGACTCCAGCTCCCACAGATGAATGCTGCTCTCGTTGTGTCCTTGGGCAAGACACTTAACCCACCTCACCCCTAGTGTCTGCATACAGTGGTGTATGAATGTGTGTGTGAATGGGTGCGTGGTTCCTTTATGTAAAGCGCTCTGAGTGCCTTGAAGTTGGAAAAGCACTATATAAAAATTTCATACCATACACCATTTGAGTGAAATTATGAGCTAAAGTTACTGGCTTTAAGGCAAATAGTAATTATGATTAAGAATTGAGTCAACCCAAAGCATGAAAACCTAAGCTTGAGTGTGTTTCATGATATCATTTCTTTGACAGGAGAATAGTGAAGTGAAATAAACACCGTGAGTAAAGACCGTGAATCCACACCACACTGTGACCTCAAAAGGTGAACGTATCAGTAAAACGTATAATTTTGGGTTTATATGTTTGCTTCACAGATGAATCCCCATAGTTTATAGTTGTGTACTTGGGTCTCTCTTTTTGGTTGTTGATTTTAGTCTGGACATTTTTAGCTAATCCTGGGATAGCATCATGTCCTCCATCTCTCTTTTCCAAAGGTTTTCCTTCACTATGTTTCTTGTCTTTCATGTTGTCTTCACCAATTCCCTCAGGCTTCAAACTTGTGGGTGGAACTGTATTTATTTCTGTTGTGTGGTTTTCTTGTTGGTGGTTGATTTGAGTCTCGATATCTTTACCATCATTACTGCTTAAACAATCATCCTTATTGATGTCAACCAGAGACAGTTTATGTCCTTCGTCTGTCTTTGCCATAGGTTTTCCTTCACCACATTTTTCATCTTTTGTCTTGTCTTCATCAATTTCCTCAAGCTTCAAACTTGCAGGTGAAACTGTGTTCATTTCTGTTGTGTGGTTTTCTTGTTGGTGGTTGATTTGAGTCTCGATATCTTTAGCATCATTACTGCTTAAACAAACATCCTTATTGATGTCAACCAAGAGACAGTTTATGTCCTTCGTCTGTCTTTGCCATAGGTTTTCCTTCACCACATTTTTCATCTTTTGTCTTGTGTTCATCAATTTCCTCAAGCTTCAAACTTGCAGGTGGAACTCTATTTATTTCTGTTGTGTGGTTTTCTTGTTGGTTGTTGATTTGAGTCCAGACCTCTTTGGATAACCCAGGGATAGCGTCATTACTGCTTTCACAATTATCCTTATTGTTATCAACCAGAGACAGGTCATGTCCTTTATCTCTCTTTTCCATAGGTTTTCCTTCATTAGATGTTTTGCCTTTTGCCTTGTTTTCATCAATTTCCTCAGGCTTCAAACTTGCAAGGGTGTGATTTCCTTGATGGTTGTTGCCTTCAGTGTCTTTGGTTAACCCTAGGATATCATAATTACTGCTTGCACAAACATCCTTATTAGTATCACCCGGAGACAGTTTATGTCCTTCATCTCTTTTTTCCATAAGCATTCCTTCACAGTTCTTGTCTTTTGTCTTGTCTTCATCAATTTCCTCAGGCTTCAAACTTGTAAGTATACATGTATCTATTTCTGTTGTGTGGTTTTCTTGTTGGTTTTTGAGTTGAGTCTGGACGTCTTTGGTTAATTCTCGGAAGGCGTCATGGCATTTGTCTCTCCTTTCCATAGGTTTTCCTTCACTAGATTTTCTGTGTTCTGTCTTGTCTTCATCAATTTCCTCAGGCTTCAGACTTGCAGGTGTAACTGTATTTATTTGTATTGTGTGGTTTTGTGAGTCATTTAGAAACAGGCTTGGCTCTTCACTCGTCTTTTCTATTGGTATTTGAGTATTATTTATTACACCGGAGGGCAAAGATGGTACATTTGAATTGTCAATATCAACACTAGTTATTGCTGATTGAGATTTGGATTGCTCGAGGTTCAGTTGACACACTCTTGGTATGAGAAATTTTGGCAGTTCTTTTTCACTGTAAATGTCCTTTTGTATATTCTGATATTCCTCCACCTCTTTTTCAATGTTTGGATTCAAAGTGCAGTTTTCTTCACTAAACCCAGGCAAGTTTTCATTTGACAACTGCACATTCATAACTTCGAAATCAGTTTCACATTTCAAGCTGTTTCCACCGCTAACTTTAAGCTCTTCTTTGTCAAATATTTCTGGACAACTACTATTACAAAACAGCAAAACTATAGGGCAAGGCATGATGGTTGTTCTATTGAAAGTAACTGGAGTCTCAATTTGCAGTGTAACTTCATAAGACTGTGGAAAAGACCATTCAGAGACACAAGCGGCATAAAAACATTCTTGGGAACCTGTGTTAACACACTTACATGTACAATTTAAGTCTTCAGTCACCTCATTATTATAAGATGTATTGCATATTTCAAAAGCACTGCTACAAGCTGTATCAATAATTTCCCTCATAGTAGTAGTATTTTCATTTTGGGGATTTGAATGTCTATTGTGTATTTCCTCAGATTCCTCAACATATTTAAAAAAAATTTCTTGAACTGTAACATCTGTTTCTTTTTGCTCTACAGCTACATTATCTTTTTGCAAACCTTGAACATTTTTTACTTTACCAACTTTTAATGTTTTGATTTCACTTCTGAGATTCTGATTTTCTTTAGGTGCCATTTGTCCGTCTCTTTTTGTATGTTTTGCTCGTTCGTGGCTCGCTACAATCTCTTTAACATTATTTGTCACTTGCATTTGAGCCTTATTAACCGAGCATTTCAGATCACTGGCCTTACGCACAGTCACCACACCGTCAAATCTCTCCATAATACATGACAATAGCTTCCCTTTTCCAATGCTTCTTGGTTTGATTGGCTGCTTTTCCTGACCTTGTTGTCTCTGCTCGGCCTGGACAAATTTGGCTAAGACATCTTTGACTTTTCCTCTAGTTTTTATACAAACACTTTGGTCCTTCTTCAATGGGTCATTTTCCTTGCTAAGGCTGACTTTACGTTTAGCTCCATTGATTGATAGTGTTCCTACCTCTCTCTGGTGGGTTATGGGAGGTTTGGGAGTCGTCCGGCTGAATTTCGATTGAAGAAGTTGAAAAGATGTGAGACGTCTTGGTATTTTGTCATCTGCGTTTGATTCTTTCTCTGTGTTTGTCTCTTTACATTTAAGATTTGTATTATGTAAACCATGACTGTCTGTTGAGTCTTCATTTTTGCCACATTTTCTTGTATAATTGGTATTAAAAGTGTTCTTCAGGTTGGGTAGTTCCTTGGTCAGGTAGAGAAGCAGGCTCTCCAGGATGTTTCGGACAACTGGGTGGTAGTCATGACTTCTGATTAACTTCTTGATATAAGCAGCATTGGGGTTTGTGCGTTGTCCCGTAGTTTTGTGAAATATTGGTCTATAGAAAGTAAAAAAACATGCAAAATGTATGATCAATGAAACTGCTATCCAAATATAAACAGCAGTATGTCAGTCATTTCTTTGCCTAAATCTTTCAGAGATTAAGTGATATTTCATTATTATAAACCAAATATTACATGATGATTTGTATGAAACACTTAATATCCATATGACATGATGTCAAAATTGATCTTTCATTCTAGTTCTTAGTGGTATAGTAATTTTAGCATCTTCCTAATTAGTCAAATCTAGATTAGATTGTGTCATGGAGCAAAAAAATAATTAAAATGCATTGGAGATTATTGTGCAGATTAAGCATGTTAATGGCTTTATTAATGTGGTTAATAATGTGATATTTAGTTGACTATAATGGGGAAAATGTTGGGATGTATTTTATGTACTGACACCTGACTGAAGACCAAACACTGCACAGCAGTTTGCACAGGTTTTTATTCACATTAATGAAAACATCATTATGTTACTAACATGTCAATTTTTACAAAATGATCTATGCTGTTAGATTCAGCAATAGCTATAGATTTTTCCAGTTCCTCTGTGAATAACGTAAGGGAGATTGTGGGCAGATAAGTCTTAATATACCATAATGGGCTTCTTTTGGGGAGGACCAGGGGGTTGAGTTGGTCAAAAGACAAGCCAAAGTTAAGTGCAGTTCTTCATACAGCCAGTAGGGGACAGGCCAGTGCAGTGGGATATAGCATTTACTTGTCTATGCCCTTGTCTTTGGAGGCGGCTTTGTAAAGCGCTTCTCCGAGCTCCTCCAGCCGCGCGCGTTTGTCCAGGTCCTGATACAGACCGGAGGGGACCGAGCTGAGTCCGTGCAGGAGACCGAAGAGACATCCGGCGATTAGACCTGTCCCGGGACTCTCACCTGCAACAACAGGGGAGTGTGTGAAAGAATAGACCATCTATTTCACTGTTTTATTTTTTCTACTCTCCTCAAAAGGCTAAAATTAAAATAGCATTCATAATGTGAATAATACTAGGGCGTACCCTAATTCCTCAATTGTCCAGATAGGAAAATACAATTCTTTCAACTGGACAAAAGAGTAAAAAAACTTTTGTCCACTTAATAGAATTGAATTGTATTTTGCTATATGTAGGACACAACAAAATGGCAAAAAGTAATCCAGTACAGATCATTGGCCCATATTCTTGTTGTTAGTATATCTCAGCCCAAAACAAGTGCATACTGTTGTTGTGTTCTTGGGCAAGACAGCACGTGTGAAGTGAATTAAATCATAAAGCACCTAAGATCTACGTTTGTTTGTGAAATGATGGAAGGTCCGCCACCTGTTTGTCTTCACCGTGGTATGTTTTTATGTTTGTCTGGTATGTTCCACAGTTTTGCATTAAACCTTTCTATCACAATGGAAACAAGCAGACAAAGTCACAGGTTAGATCTTTGTAGAGTCGAACTCACTCAACAGAAAAGTTACACTTTTAATATTTTATCTTCAAAATGCACCATACTTCAGGCCTGTCATGATAATTACTAATCGACTTATTCAGTATATGTAAGCTGGAATGATATATTTTGAGACTCAGTATTTATTGTGTGCAATTTCTTAGCAATAATGGGGAGATGTGGGCTATTTTTGTTGTAATAAAAATAGATTTGAGCTGTAGAAAGTTGAATAACTAACTATGGTTAATTATTGATTCATTCTGTTATTTATCTCTTACAGCTCAGGCCTTTTAGTAATACAGTTTATTTAAAATGGTTTACTGGGATTATTTTGGATTTATTGTTGAGTCAGTATCTTAAAATATTTTCAGTATTATCATTTATGGCAGTATATCTTTGTTGTGATATACCGTGCTTAAAAATTTGTCTCACCTCCGTGGAACATGGCTCTTCGGCACAATTCATTCCAGTCACTTCCCGCCGCTAACAGAGCATCATAGGCGATCATTGGAGCGTCATGCCCTCTGCGCCCCGCTCTGCCCTCTGAACTCCACCGCTTATACATCTGTAAAGAAATACTGTTTTTATTCTTACACTGCTGAATAAATACACTGTGTGCTGTTAGTGCTTCTTGTCAGTTTTTATACACACACACCACATTCATACTGTTCTGTGTTAGAGAAGAAAATTCACAAAATAAATGTTATAGCTAACAAATAATATCTAGTTATTCCAGTGTTAACACTCCATACTTGAGATTTCTAATTGTACTTTCTACTTACTTTGTCTGTCTCTTCTGCATCGTATGGGTTTGGAAATACAGGTTTGTTCTGCCCCTCATTCTCGATCTCTCTCTCCTCAAGATAAAATTGCCACTTGGCCTCAAAGTAGAACCAGTTTTCTTGATACTCTGCAAAAATGTAAAAACAAATTTATTTTTAAATGCAATACTAATTAATATTAGGGGGGGGCGGCATGTGAGTCTTCTTGCCCCGGGCCCCCAAATTTCTCTCAACGGGCCTGCATTGCACCTTTAAAATATGATCCCTCTAGAACAGACCCATGCTAACACACAGTAATCATCTATAATAATATCTTTGTCTTGTGAGCGTTGACCTGTAATTAACCTCTTCACACAAACCGAAACCTGAGCGGACCTGCCATGTGTCGGATGGTCTTCCTGCAGTACTCCTCGGCCTTTGGGATCACTGTCATCAGCTCACGGCCCCAACTCACCAGAGGTTTCCCCTGGATCGCAAGCGACGCAAACAACGCTGTGGCCAGAGAGCCCAGGAAGCCTGAAGGGACAGAGGGGGCAGTGGGCTATTAAATATTGCTCATAAAAAGCACACTGCATAACTATCATTGCAGCTATTATGTAAGTTATAACTCCAATTTAACTCTAAACATTAATTATTTCATTTTATTAACTTAAATTTGGGTGACCTTTAAACATTTTCAATATGATAAAAAGCTAAATTTAACTTTCACAGACATATGACCATAGTATGCAGAGTGTCACTAACTCTTCTTTTTCCTTTGTTATCCCTCAGTTTATATAGTTTGTATTAAAAACACTGTGTTATTGCAGTGTCCTATACAAACATTCCAGTCATTGCGTGTTGTATTATCTATAATTTTACTCAAACTAAAAACATCAAAATTGCTTTTCTATTTTAGTTTGTAGCTACTTAATCATCTTGTGAGCGTAATTAATTTTGGTGTGCAACTTTTTTTTTTTTTTTTTTTTTGCACGTATATAACAAAAAAAAAACACAACAACATACATTTAAAAAAAGTAGGTGCCAGAAGAGGCAACAAACCCAAAACGGCTTATATTAAAGCCTCCAATTTACGAATACATTAAAAATGTAACATTATAGCTGTGCATTAATAAAAAAAACAAAAATTACATTTACACACCTTGGATTAAATTAATTTGATTCAAACATTCAATGCTTCTGATATGCCATCAGAAACTTTTAAATCAGATGCCCACTCTTGTTAATCAATGGGTCTTAGCTTTCTGTTATATGGAGGGTTTATCATTTAAAAGACATAATAATTTTTTATTGTTAATTGCTATGACAACCCATGTGCTTGACTGTGCCTTCTTAGGTCTGAATAGGATATTGATCAAATTAAGAGCTACCTCGTTTAGATAAATAATAATAAAAAATAATAATTGATCAGATTTATATTGCGCTTTTTTTTTGGACAATCAAAGACACTTAAAGGTGCACGATGTAACTTTTTGTTTCCCGGACCGTCACCTGCTCGTTTCTATGGACATATCATTGCTCTGCCTCAAATGTTCCACAGTCATCAAACAGCTCTACTTTATATTTACCAATTACAGGTAGTTTTATAGCTCAAAAATACTTAGAAAAAACAGGCACTTTTTCAACTGTGAGCAGGGTCATCTCTCCACAGATCTGACCCATGACTTGGTTTGGTTTGGGCTCCATGAAGATAGAAAGATTTAAAACCATACTGTGAAGCATTCCAAACAAAGTAATAACATCTCCATGGAGACCGACCCCGTAAACTAAATAGTGAATGACATTGTAAGTGGGTATCTCCTCTACAGCGCCACCTGTTGGATGGTTGTGTGTCATCCTCCCGCTCTCGATGCTGACCTCCACCAGGTTGTCTAATCTCTCCGGTTGCCAGTACCTCATTCCCACGCACATGGCCTTGGCAGCTGCCCCAAACCCGGACCCTGCAGATAAGAGGGGTATTTTTAACATACTGCTTCACTCCGCACCACTATATTAAAAATACCAAGACATACTGATCAGCTACAACCTTTCTCATTGAAGGGGGTGTGCCAGGCCAGCAGGTAGTTGTGTGGTTTGAGGTGGACACAGCCTTCCACTGTGAACGGGTCGGGCACTCGGCCTTGGAGACAGACCATAGCTTCAACGTACAGACGCACCAGCTCACGGTACAGGTCCTCCAGACACCAGTAATCTGACAACAAAGTGTAGGGTTAGGGTATGCAATAACAGTGCACTGAATAGTAGGGTGACCAGTTTTTCAAAATCCAAAATTGGGACACACCTGGGTTGGGATGGGTTGTATAAATAAAACTGTGAAAAGATACCATACCAGAACAACCTTTATTTATAAAGCACTTTAAAAACTTTACAGCTGGCCAAAGTGCTGCACACAAACATCAAATAGACAAGAACAATCGCAGTACATGAAAATACACAATACAAACACAATACAACTACTAAAAAAATATAGAAACAAAAAAAAATTTACAAAAAAGGTAAGTTTTTAGGAGTGATTTAGATCACATAACATCATGTAACATTATCCATTCTCTACTCACTTGTGGAACAGTATATATTCTGACTTCTGAGGGACTATTGTAGGTGCTTTTTTTTGCCTTATGTTCATTTTCAAGCAGAGTTTTTTGTATTTTAGCTAAACAAATGACAATATATTCCCTCTATACTGTTGGTGGGTATCAGATTGTTCAAAATATGGACACCTTGGACATTTCTTTTATAAAACTGGGATAAATCACTGGTTTTGGATGCATGCTGCTGGGACAGGGAACATAGGCTCAAAAGTGGGATTATCTAAACACCCTACTGGAAAGACAACTTGATCACATTGATATGTTGTCTCTTTATTTGAGTAGATTTGACTTGTCTTGCCTGCCTGCCAAGCCTTGATAAATGGTTTGGGTTGAAACCAAACTAAATGAAAACAATGTCTGCATACTAAAAGGCAGATGTCATGTTTGAAATCCAAATCATGAAACAAACAACCTAACTGATCCTTAACCTCATCATGACATATTGATTTAGATTTAGTTGGTTTGGTTTTTAATACCATTTCAATGATGTACTTTTTCCTAGCTGGAACCTGTACAGCTCATTGCCCATTTTAAAACAACTGTGTGCAGTTATTTTAATTACAGTAATAACATCTTGTGCATTGTGCCCACATACTCTTCAAAGGGCCCATATTATGCTATTTTTTGATCTATGTTGTAATGCCGCTTCCTCGTCAAAAACATACCCAGATTTGTATTTTGATTCAGTCATACACAAACACACCTGTTTAACACACAAACCCTGTATATTTAAGCTCAGTTCTTCTCTCAAACTGAAAACACTGTTCCCACCTTGTGATGTCATGTGATAATACAAGAAGTGCTCCACTGTGCTTTTAAACTCTACACATCCTCACTAGAACCATTTGGATGAGTTCAGCTCTGGAATTGTCAATCACTACTGAAATCGAGGTAAAAGGTAGCTGTTAACATGAAAACTACTGCTTCATGACATCTCAAGGTAGAACAGAGCATTTTGAGCTTTGGAGATGAAGACAGACTAATAATAAAGTGTTACCCATGTGTGAATGAAACAAAACACAACTGTTTTTGATGAGGTAACAGCATTATAACATGGCTTAAAGCATAGTATAAGTCCTTTAAGCTCATTTTCATTGAATGATATTGCTAGAGTCATTCATGAGAGTTTGCTGAAAGTGGATCTGAGTGGTGGTGTATGGTCTAAGTTTAGCCCCGCACAGATTAGGGGCAGCGTGCCTTTGGAGTAGAGGGGGACACTCCAAACACTGTGAGGTCAAATGAGATCGACAAAGCTACACCACAACAGTCTCTTTGTTTGAATACAAAATGTGTAAAAATAACTATCATTTGTACATCCAATTTATTAATTAATTTATTTAGTTATTTATTTATTTATTTAGTTAGTTAGTTCAATTTTATACAACAAAAACAAAAATAGACAAAAACAAAAAACAAAACTCTTCCACCCCCACCCTTCTCATACACACACATACACAAAACTTCAAAGTACGTCCAAATTCTATGGTAAAAGAACAATTTATGGACTTAAACATAGACTGTTAAAAAGTATTATATGGCCTCAAATTACATACATACTCTTTCTCAACCCTCATGACAGAAACTAAACTACAGTAAACAACTTATTCTTACAAGTGCATTGTGTAACTTTTCTGATAGAGGTTCCGTTACCTGCTTGTTTCTATGGATATGTCATTATTCTGCCTGGAATGTTCCACAGTATGACATTAAACATCTCTACCTTACATTTATTCAATTACAGGAGGTTTTATAGCTTAGAAATACCTAGAAATACAGGCATTCTGACTGTGAGCGGGGACATCTTTCCACAAATCTGACTTGTAATTTTGGTTTAAAAGGTTAAATATCATACTGTAAAACATTCCAGACAAGGTAATAACATCTCTCTGGGCCCTCCACCAGAAAAGTTACACAGTGCAGCTTTAAAATTCATCCCTCATAATGAATAAATCTAATCTTTAATATGGATCATTCTTTGACCTGTCAGCTGATATTTTGATAAATCGTCGACTCTATTAAAACAATCTTCCTATAATTACATTGGCTGAGTTGGCTGACATTGATATTGGCCAACCATTCAAATTGATGCGATTAATTTTGCGCACCCTTGCTGACTGCGTAGAAAATGACTGTGATGAAGTAACATTTGTGACAGGTGATAATCCGCGTTAATTACATTTCCAAAGCGGTCTCCTTTCCCTCTGCTTCTGCTGCTGCTCGGTGTTTTACATTGTGGCTAAATAGAGCTACTTAATCTCCCTCAAACATCATCACCATTTTAATAAACCACTGTCACTGCCTTGGTGACACATGCACTGTATAGAGACCACTGTATAGAGACCACCACAGCTATTGTTCTGGAGACGAGAACACAGGATCAACTTTTCCAAAGAAGTCTATTTCGGACTCCTCTGTCCTGGCAACTCCCATCCACCCTCGGTCCCATGACATTTAGACACCAGGTTTAGTTCATGATTTGTTGTTAAGTAAATCTTTTGTGGTATGGAAGAAGGCTTTGTTGTATACAGAAATGCTCTACCAGGAGATTATGTGCCTCCACCAGCTTCTATTATAGTGAGAACTATAGGTATATGTACAATCCTTATAGGCAGTTATTCATACAACCAATGAGAAAAATATCTAAATTAGTAACTAGAAAAATAAAGATACAGTATGTAATATGTAAATTGGCAAAATTATTTTTATTATTCATGTGTTTCAGCTTTCTGCTACCGATAATTCTGAGGACTTCTCACCATTCAAAAGTAATAGTTTTTAAGTGTTAATGACTATGGCAACAGCCCTCATTTTTCATCAATCTAACACCCATGCATACATGACATTTTAGTCAGAGGTCAGGATGTTGTGTTTGTAAGTAACGAGGATCAGCAGTGGAAAAGCACAGTTACTGGAGCAAAAAAGGAAAGATATAGTATCATATGAAAAAATCTATTTTTTTCTAGTAGATTTTGAGATCTAATAAAGCTTCAAGTATAGTGTTTTTAATAAAGATTTGTGCTGAATTTTGTTCAACAAAAACAATATTGAATAGCTGGAATATAATAGAGGGTTTTTTCGATATCTGTTTTTATTTGTATATTTTTGTTTGCTCAAACTATGAACATATTAAAAATAAACTCTCAGCCTTTTCAGCAGGTCTCAAACTATCATAAAAAATACTTTTACTTTTCAGTCCAATTCAAAAATGTAGTGAAAGTAGAAAGTACAGATACATGCTCTCAAATGTTGTGAAGTAAAAGAAAAACTGACAATTTTAAAAACTGCTTACATAAGTAAAGTACAGATACCTAAAATTTATAGTTAAGTACAGTGCTACTTTTACATTGTTATGTTCCACCACTGACGAGGATAGATGTGTATTTGTGCATCAGGGACCGGTGACATCTTTTGTTGTTTTGAAGATTAAGTCCAGATTGAAATGGTTTGAAGATGAGGAAGGATAGTGATCATACCCTGGAAAAGATACTGAGGATAGAGCTGCCAGAAAGCAGATTAAATGGACTACACTGCTAGGAGAGCGCCAAGGATTTGATTTATGAATTTTGTTATGAAACTAGTTGTTGAGAGAATGAGATGAGAGATGGATTCTTCCATTTATTTTACTTTTATTTTACAAGGAAAAACATATTTACAATGCTGACCACTTAGTCCCTTTAGAATTATAGGGTATTGACATTTTTGTTTTGAGTTTTATTCTTCTTTATGAATACCTTCTGTACAGTTTTTTCAATATTAATCGAGGTTGGTGCATTTATTGTAGGTTTAAATGAGCATTTCATTGTGCTTTATGAGTGGCAAAAACTATAAACAAAATATCTCAGAACTTTCCAGAATGTAAATAAAATTAACTCTATAATATTAACGTGGATATAATAGCAAACTGAGCTGGTAATATTAGATCAAACATAAATCTTCTCACAAAGTAGCAAAGATCAAGCAAATAAACACAGAAATACGTGAATGCCATACCTGTGATGAGGGCCTCTGCTGTGGTCATGTGCATCAGTGTGGCGTCACTCAGAGGCCAGTTGTCCGAGTCTAGTTTTAGGGCCCCAAGTCCTCCCAGAGAGGCCAGTTCTTCCTGGATCTTCTTCCCCGAAGTGCAGCCTTCCCAGCGGCCCTTCTTGTACCCCAAAGCATCCCCCACAGCTCCTAGAACCATACCTGCCTTGAACTTATCCATGTCCACAACAATACAACTACTTTCAAATAAAAAGCAGCTATACTGAAATAACTCTGAGCTCCATTTAGCGGTCACAACAGATACAAAAGCTTGGCATTATCAGCTTTAGCCTTGTTGTGTGGGGCGTTGTTGAGTGGGACAGTCATCAGGTGGCTCCTAAAAAGGCAATCCCCCTGGTTCCACTGTGTAGGAGCTCTTTGGCGTGCTGTGGAGTGGTTTAGGGCTGGGCGGGCAGGGTTTTGGCGAGATGCTAATGTGGTCCATGAGTTTGGCCTGCAGCTGGTGCGGGACCCCAATGACATCCGGACCGCCCCGTGGGACCGGGACAAGAATGGAGCAGCATCCAGAGTTAATCTCTCTCTACTCTCACTGTCAGCCTTGATGAATATGATAATCTCAGTATACTCAAAAACAAAAATAAATGTTGAATCTGAATAAATGTATGTAACCTTTTTAACATTTTATACAAATCCAAAACAAATAATTAAAGGTGCATTGTGTAACATTTCAGGTCTGTCAAATGCTATTCTCCTTTGGAAATAGTATTGCTTTGTCTGGATTCTTTCACAGTATGGTTTTAAATTAAACGTTTCTGTTTTCATGGAGACCAAACCCAACCAATTTACATGTCAGATCTGTGGAGAGGCAACCCCTCCTCACAGCTGTTTAAAGTCATACTGTGAAACATTCCAGGCAGGTCAATGAAATATCCTTAGAAACAAGCAGGTGACGGACTCTCCACCAGAAAATTTTCATAATGGACCTTTAGGTTTTAAGATAATATATTTAAAATATATTTGTTTACTTAACATAAACTGTTTAAATGGAGAACCTGACATTTTCCTTTTTTGTGTGATCCATTATGAACTTCAATAGCTGTTAAATGCATTCTTAAAAGTAAAGAAAAATGGCTTTACACATAACACATAATATCACAATTGAATCTGGGATGCCATGAGCTGCCACAGCCCACAGAGGGCCATCCTAGCTAGAGAACCTTTTTGGTGTTTATTGTATACTGGTGTAAGTCATAGGATCTAGCAACACAAATAGAGCGATTTGTTCTGAATCCTGATAAGATTATTGACTTCAGAAGCAAAACATGTAAACATAAACAATATGAATCAATATTATAAGTGATTTCAAGCAAATCAATACCTGAGCACATACAGAGGATACAGACAAGAAATGCTTTGAAAAACGTATGCCTTATACTCATTGAACCATTTTAGATAATGATTTTTAGAAATGTGTCTTGCATTTTGACACAAGGAAGTAAAATTCACACTTGTCATATTTCAGTATTCAATTTGCATAATCCAGATGCCCTCCCTGGTGCAACCTCCTGTTGTCATGAATGGCCTGCCATGACTGTAAGTAGCCTTCACAAAAGCTTTAAGAGGTGATGATGTTATGTTTTAGGAATGCAACTTGATAAGTGACAACTGTCCCTGAGCTGACCCTTAAACCACGATTAGATACAATACCAGTCTGCTGTGTTTGAATTAGAGTTTCAAAATACTATGTATGGATACGTAAACCAGTGATGGAAGGTAGCTAAGTACAAATTAAAAGTACAGTGCTTGAGACTTGCTGAAATAGCTGAGACTTATTTTTAGCACATTTAATTTGAGTTAATGTCACAGCTTTGAGCAAATACACACCAATAGTTACAAAAAATAAGAAATCTGTTAAATCACCTACAATCAGCTAAAGTCTTTATCAAAATTACTACATTTCAGACTTTTTACCTGTAAAGTACATTTTCAAACAGATACTCCAGTAGTTTTACTTAAGTAGATTTGCTCATGTGATTACTTTTATTTGAGTAATCTTTTGACCGGTATCTCTACTTTCACTTAAGTGACAAAATTGAGTACTTCATCCACCACTGACCTAAACTCATAACACAGTATTCATCTCATGGAACTGTAAGAGACATTTCTATTGTTGACCCATACAGTCCTGACCCATAAACTATAAACCAAGTCCTACTCTTTATCAAATGCGTTGACCTGACCTACATTTGTAACAAAATTAAGGTTGAGAAAACATTTTAAAACAACATGCTTTATTGGCATATTTTTAAAAATGATTCAGCTTTCCTCTGCAACAAAAATAATACTTTTCTGAACAAATGACGAGATGATGGTTAACAGTGAACCACAGTGTATGTACGGTAATGTACCATGTTAACAGGCTAATGACCCTGCGCCAGTTAAGTGACAGCTTGGACAATGTAAAGTACTGACCTCATTTGACATTTGTAAACACCCTGAAAAAAAAACAGACACTTCCTCAACAATATTCTCACCTGTATTTTTTATTACAATCTGTCTGCATCATTTATATAAAATACTGATGTGAAGTTTGCCACTTATGGATTATATCTGCCCTTCGATGAAGGTTTGATTAAACTCTGAGCAGAACTGTATCAACAGTTGCATGCTTCCTTTAAACAAAGTAATACCTTTTTGACACACAAGACCAAATTGGCACTTAAATCAGATGAATAATTACTGTCCTTTGCTGCTCAAATGAGGTGTTAACAGAGTGTTATGAGGTTATGCAAATACCATACAGCAAAGTGAGCAGTGCTCTCCTAACAGTACAGTTAACAAATAGGGCACATACGCAATGTTAAAACAGGAGACCCGTTGACATAAAAACTGAACACCTCCATGGCATGTGCAGTACGCTCTGTAAAATTGTAAAAACCTAAAACAGAAAGTGTAACTCAGTGCAGTTTGTAGTTGGCAAATAATCAGCTGAAAAACAGCAAACAGTCAGTTACATGTTTCAGTAAAAATCAGGATATGATCTCTGTATTACTGTGAATGTCACTGGTATTATCATACATAAATAAATCTATTCCTATGAGTACACTTAGTGTAAAACCTGTACCAGTAACTGCTGGTGCTGAGCTCAGACATGCAGCAGATTAAAAACATCTTGTCACTGTTCACACAAAAAGCTAAATCCAAACTGAACCCATAGAAACCACGCACACAAACACTCAAACACCAGCACATTGTGTCTTTGCTCTTTGAGTGATTATACAAAGAGCACATTCAAAATGCTTCACTCTTTCACCTCATCCGCAGATTCTGACTTTGAAAGCCCAAAGCAACGGTCCATCCTCTTTGAGCCAAGCAGCCCTATTGAGGCCGGTTCAGAGCACTCATTTCCACAATGAAGTCCAGAAGCTCCCATGCGCTTTTCCTCAAGGCATGTCATGATTAAGTCTACAACAAGCTGCAGCCAGGCTCAGTAAATGTAGTCTCTTTTTGGCCCTTTCTTATAAAAATCTGGTACAAAACTTGTAGGAAACAAAATCCATCCATTGCATAAAAGAGGAACCATCATTATGTCATGACCCGTTTGGTACCACCCACAATCGGCCGTGCAAACTCCACAAAGTCGTCAATGAGGACAGGCCACGCCCCTAGAGTAAGAAGCAACACACAATACATTATTATGACAGGCTTAAATGTTATTATGTTTGATGCCATGCTTCAACTACTGCCATTATTAAGATTTTATTTTAACTTTATTTGTTATTTTTCATTAAAAAGTGCACTATGTAACTTTTTGGTTTGGGGTTTGTCACCTGCTTGTTTCTATGAATGTCACTGCTCTACCTAAAATGTTCCACACTATGACAAATCAAGTCTACTTTACATTTATTCAATTACAGGTGGTTTTATAACCCCAAAATACCTTCAAAAACAGGCATTCTGACTGCGAGCATGGTTGCTTCTCCACAAATCTGACCTGTAACTTGATTTAGTTTGGTCTCCATGAAGATAGAGACGGTTAATGTCATACTGTGAAAAGATCCAGATAAAGCAATAACATCTCCATGGCAAAAATCATTTGATGGACCCTCCACCAGAAAAGTTATACAATACACGTTTAAGAATTGATGTGACATATTTTAAAGCAACTACATCCAAGTAGCTTTCAATTGTGGAAAAGCAGAGTCTGTCTTTTTTTTAGTTTTTTTTATTTATGCTGAAGTAACTAACCTTCCTCATCATAGTTTGACATGTCGTCTGCAATCATGTTGCCAAAGTCTAAAAGGAGATTCCATGTGTCTTTAGGTATAGACCGCTTGTGATGCTCCTAAAACAGATAAAAAAAATTAATTTAGACACAATAGTACAATTCATAATATGCAAATATAAATGTAGCCACTTACAGTAAGAAATTGATTCCAGAGATCAAGAAACTTAAAACGACCTGTCAAAACTAATTTCCAGTATGCAACAGCCATGTCTAGATCTAAAACAAAAATTAGAAAAAAGTGACTGTATGTTTACACGGTGTTTGCGTTGCCACAAAATGGCTCATTATACATACCTAATCCTTTCTGACCAGGGTTCTTGGCAAAATTAAAAGTGAACTGGTAGAAATCTTTAAACTTCCCAGGATCTTTCAGCTCCTGCTCTAATCTTGGAAGAATGGCTCTGAGTTTTTCGGGACTGTCACAGCTAAAACAAAACAAAACAATTAATCAATAGTAAGGAAACTATTCTGTGATTACTTGTACTAGAGCTTAACCACAATGAAATCATTACAGATTGAATTCCGTGTTGTTGTCAGTCTTACCCCAGCTCAGTCATGCCGTCAAGAAACTCCTTCTTACTAAACTCGCACTGTGTGGCTGCTCTGAACTTCCAGGCCACGACCAGGATGCTGATACTCGCTGGATCCAGCAACAGGTCATCACAGAACTGCTGGATCCCATCAACGCCTATTTTATTTTCATCTTGAGGATCTGTAAAGACACGATAAAATGAAATACAATGCATAGATGTTGAGATGGGACAAAATCTCAAGTCATAAGACCTTGTGATATTAAAGGTTTTGCAACTCATTACACCCATAACAAAAAACTCACAAGTGAGAATGGTATTATTTTCTCAAACCTTTGTATCTGCTATAGAGCTGCTCCAGCTTCTTGCGGTCCACTGAGGTTTTCATGTATTCTTTATTAAACAGGTCAGGGTTTTGGAAGTAGTTATCTGTGGCTACTTCTAATTTCCAGTCGTTCTGTGTCAGGCAATAGATGGCTGTCCTCTCCCCCGCCTGCGTGAAGGACATGAACTGCCGAACCTTGTCCTTTTGTGATGACTTCAACTTACTCTGTGGGAACACTGCATGTTAATTTGGGGACACTGGAGAGGGGATAGGTCCCCACCCACTGCAACGTAACCAGTATTTGAACTTGCATTGGTTTTACTTCAGATAAATTGTCATTTCAAAATTCACAGGGCAGATGAACAATATAACGTTTTATATTAAACAATCATCAAAGATCCAGTAATTGACAAAATGTATGTCTCAGGCTGCACTAGCATTAAACGTTAAATCAGAAGAAAATGCCAGTTATCTGATTATTCACATCCGAAAACCGAACCAATTCTGACACAGTCCGGAGACCAAGAGCACAGGCCGGTGAGTGACCCAGTTTTAGCGTCAGGAGGGGGGCGTTTGATCTGAGACTCCAGCGTGACCCGTGGATCACAGGCGAGTTACCAAAAAGGGAAAAGTGCGTGCCCCCGTGGAGATATCCGACCTCAAAATATACACTACCTAAATGCTGTTACTATACACTGACCTCGCATTGCCACAATGTTATGGACATACATTAGCTTGACAATGCGATACCTAGCAAACAACATCACATTTTATTGCATTTTCTGCTAATACAACTAATCCAAACATCAAACTTAATACTATCTTACTACTTGCTTATTTTTTAGCAGTTATAAATGCTATTGCATTAACTAACTTTGAATTTTACGTACCATTTTACTGGCTGTTTTGACTGGAACAAGTTGATTCACTTAGCAGAAATGCGCATGCGTCAACATACCGCTATGTGAGATGGGAATTGAAGTTCTTTAGTAAAGCAACAGGCCCTTTTGACTTTGACAATCGTGGCGTGCTTAAAAGTTAGATCATTTGATAAATGTCATGCATGTTTTAAGTGCAACATGCAATTGCAAAGGACGGGCTTCACAATCCGATACCTATTATATTTTTAGCTGTTTTCTTCGTCATGCTACACAACCAAACAAACCAAACAAGTTTACAGTAGAGGACTTAAGGTAGATTTGAAACTGCACGCAATCCTGCTGTCAATCAAGACTAATGTGCATGTTACCTAACTTTAAGAAGAACATCTGAAGAAGCGAGAACAAGACCTTTGCAATTCGTATGAACAAGCTAGCGAAACTAATCATCTAAAAACTACAACTCCCATATCTCGGCGTTTAGGTTAAGATGTTTCGGAAGTACCGATAAGAAGTTATATCTGATTGCCTGACGTACTCGACAATTTCAAATTCTAGCAAACTGAACATACCATAAAAATGTTTTCGTATATAGAACAAGGTCTTGTCACCGTATTATGTATTTAACAACGCTGCTTCGGCTAATGTTAGCAAAGAGCTGCTTGTGGGTTATGGGAGTGTGTGGATTCAGCTGGCTGTAGCTGGTCTGACAGCTCTCAGTACATTTCAGAGCTAACTATCAACCTTTAGCAATCCTGCATAAAAATAATAAACCCAGTGTAGTTCATCGTACTAGTAAATGTACATACCCGCTGGAGGAGGTAGTGTATGTTTAGAGGTGGGACCGGACCTGAAGTTGGTAGCTAAAGTCTCTCCTGCACCGTCGTGTGTTGGAGCTATGTGGCAGAGGAGGAGGGGTGTCCGTGTTGCTACTAGTGTACAACAGCGTAATTGTTCCTTTCCGCAAATGTGAAGTCGAGTCCAAATCGGGGACAGCGTTTTTATCTCTCAGGCAAGTTTCTTTTTTGATAGTGTGAGGATCCTCTGTGTTGTCTTTGCCGTGACTAGCCAAAATTAATTTCTGAGATGTCTTAAAACTACATTAGCTTCGGCTCTAGTGCCATACTGTAATTTAAGGATCAGTTGACCTATTGACAATTATACAATGAATGAATAGCTTAATCCGTGTTCATGAAATGTCATGTGTTACCACAGAACCCCATTCACCTTTAGGTCTACAATGTAAGCTACACCAAATTGTTACATATTACACTGGACATTATTTGAACTATGAATGCTGTAACAACATCTAAGAAACTACTCATTCCAATACTGTCATTAGATTTATCATATATGCTTTAATTAAATTACAAATTGTAGAGTAAAGTTTGTTAGGTTTGTGTGTGCTCCTCAGATGCCAGGTTTCAAACAGAGCTGCCATTGATTTCACCAACAGCAGTGGCTGCAGTCCAGTCCCAGGATGAACCGAGCAACTCAGAAATATGGAAACTACACATCACTGTGATTAACTCATGTTCTCAAGAGTACTCTGCTGTGAAGTAAGTAATGTCATTGAGATACTGTAGAGAAGGTTTCATTTGGACTCCAACAGGACTGTTTTTGCTATCAAAAACAGTCCTGGACAAATGAAGGATTACACTGTTTTATTTAGAAACTGCTGGTGTATGCGTAATAAAGTATTGGATGTGAACTTAATAATTAAAAAGATGCTGACATAGCTTGTGTACAACTGTTATGGTAGACACTGACCCCGACAGATCTGCATGCACATTGTTTTAAAGCTAGTACAACCACACCCAACACCTCTTCAGATGAGGGAGGTGCTTAATCCAATGAGTCTGATCTTTCATCCTGCTCTGAATGCTACTTTTCATTGTATAATATTTTCTTTTAATGTTTGCTTAATTTCCTGCAGTGTTTAGAACCACAGCCTGTAGTGTAACCAGGACTGATGTTTTGGATGCAGTTTTTGTGTTGGCTGCTGTGCCTTGGCCTGGCAAAGGCACTGGCTACAATACCCAAGGACCAGGTGGCACAACATGTCCTTAAGCTCTATCAGTCCAATGGGGCGCTCCATGGCCAAAGCTGGGTGGCCAACAACTGCAAACGTCTGGTTGGCCTCCTGCATCAGAAGAGTGTGGCAGTGAAAAAGCTGTCTGCTGCAGCCAAAGCGGTCGAACGAGACCAGACTCTCTCAGAGGATGAAAGGCATTTCAGGGTGAAGCCAGCATTGTTTTCATACCATTATCTCCACTGAATGTTGTGTATTTTATGACTCATTTAAAGTGAATGCTTTTCAGACTCTTCTCAATACTGACCTATAGTTACGAAATAGTGTTACATTCACATCTAAAAGGTTTACCATGGATCCTTTTTCCTTTTCACAGGTTCATACACTGGAGGTTTTCCAGAAGGAGCTCAATGAAAGCGAACACCTTGTGTTCCAGGCAGTGCACAGCCTGCAGAGGGCGCTGCAGGGCGACTACAAAGATGTGGTCAATATGAAGGAGAGCAGCAGACAGAGGCTGGAGGCCCTTAGAGAGGCAGCTATAAAGGTGAGATTAATTTATGTAGTTTACAACTGGTGTTATAAAACATAAATAATCTTTAAACTTCAAAGCATCTTACCTTATGATACAGCTATAAAGTTATCTTTACAAATGTTGTAATGCCTTTTGGTTTTTTGCAGGAGGAGCAGGAGTATGTGGAGCTTGTGGCAGCTGAGAAGCACCAACAGGAAGCTCTGAAAAATGCTTTGACCCGAAACAAAACTCTGTCCATTTTAGACGAGATTCTGGAAGATGTGAAAAAGGCAGCTGACCGACTTGAGGAAGAGATTGAAGAACATGCGTTTGATAACAACAAACAGGTCTATAATAGTTTGTCTTATATATTTTTAAATCTTCAATCCTGAACAAACCTCCTCACCTATTGTGCTTAGGTGGTAGGAGTGAACGTTGAGGCTGTGCTAAGAGTGGAGGAGGATGAGGAAAATGGAGGAAAGAGAAAAAACAAATCAAAGAAAAGAGAGGTGGAGGATGATCTGGGACTGAGCATGCTCATAGACTCTCAGAACAACCAGTATGTCCTCACAAAACCACGGGACTCCACCATGCCCCGGGCTGATCATCACTTCATTAAGGTAAGAGTTTTACATATATATTATAAAATTCCTCTACCATTTTCATGTATAAATTTATTAATGTAATACATTTGCCCCTGGTTTATTTTTATTTTATTCATTTCAAAATGTTAGGACCTGGTTTCCATAGTGATGTTGTCTTTGCCTTGTGGGTGGGTCTGCACTTTGGTCAGTCTCCCTCCGATGTTTGGATATATTGTTTGTGGTGTTCTGCTGGGTCCCTCGTGCCTCAATAGCATCAAGGTCTGTATTTTAATTATACTGTAAATTTCATAACAACAATGCAATTAAATATAGTATTGTGTTTTCACTGTGTTTTAGTCCATGGTCCAAGTGGAGACTTTGGGAGAGCTTGGTGTGTTTTTCACTCTTTTTGTAGTGGGACTAGAGTTCTCCCCAGAGCGACTTCGTAAGGTAACAACATGCTGTCAAATAGAGTATCACATAGACTGTATACATAAATGGACACAGTTAATGCACTAGCTGCCGCGTTCCAAATAGGACAGTTGCATGTGGGCGCTTCCGACTCCTACTGACCCTGGCTCCCATTGACTTACATATACTGCCGCCTCTCTCTCTCAGTAACTGTGACCCTTTTTCGTCTGGATTTTGGTCTTAAAATGTTTGTATTAATTAAATTCGCCCCTCTAACTGCTGGCATCGCAAGCTTCATTTGAGTGGCGCCGAAAGCTAGAAGTGATGTCACACTCACTTAGTCTGTTTTTATAAGTCTATGGAGTATCATTATATCGAAGATGTTCATATCTGAAGAATGTAGGAATGTATGATCAAGGTACTTTTTTCTAAATAAACACACATGAGTTAGACAAGTTTAATACCATAAGGGTTAGGGTTAGGGTTAGAGATTCTAGGGAAATATAAATATAAAATCTCCATGGAGGTGGACCAGAAAAGCAGCATAGTGCACCTTTAAGGTATTTATTGTAGAAAAAAAACATTAAAATAATGTGTTTGAGCTAAAATATGCATTGATACTTTTTAATTATACAAGATTATAAAAAATGATAAATGTACCATGTGCTATAATTTTTTTCTCTGTGTAGGTGTGGAAGACCTCAGTGCAGGGCTCTTGTTACTTGAGTCTGCTGATGGTGGGCTCTGGTTTGTTGTGGGGACAAGTCCTGAAGATTCGGACCACTCAGACTGTCTTCATCTCCACCTGTTTGTCCCTCTCCAGCACCCCTCTAGTGTCTCGCTTCTTAGGAGGAGCTAGGGGAGACAAAGAGGGTATGTACTGTATGTGTTTTGTCTATGCATAAAATAGTAAAGTTCTGATAGTTAATAGCTATTCATAGAGTTAATCAAAGTTAATCAACAGAAAATTAAATTCTGTCAACTGGACAAAATGTTTTTTTTGTTTTTTTTTCATTTTCTTTTGTGATTTAACCTACCTGGAGAAGTGGACTTTTTACAAAGACAAGTTAGTCATAGTATTATAGTCATAGTTATATAAAGCTATTTATTATGATTTATTAGGCTAGTCAACCAAGAAAGAAGCCACATGTAACAAAGTGATTAATAAGTACTTGCAAAAATGAGTTCCCTTGACATGTATTTTTCATTCATAACCTATATTTAACAAGTTCAGTAAAGGGGCAAATTATAGCTCTTCTTTCTTCTCTTCTATTGAAATTTGATAATATATGTCAGTTGTGAAAATGTACTATTTGTATGGATGAAAGGTGTTGATATAAGTCTGTTGTGTTGAAGGCGACTCAGATTACAGCAGTGTTCTTCTGGGGATGTTGGTTATGCAGGATGTTCAGCTCGGCCTCTTCATTGCTGTCATGCCCACTTTAATCCAGGCCCAGAGTGGAGACTTGGACAGGTCAGTCTTTTGTTTTTTAAATCCAATAATCGATAACTAAAATATTATGTTTATGTTTTACCTTTAGTTTGTATTGTCTATTTGCTTTTAGACTGAATTACCTTTCTCTGTATTTACTTTAATCATACAAACATAGTAAATAAATCTATAATTTTTATTTAATCCAAGTTTCTATGAATAATGTTGCACATCTTAGTATGTAGAAAGAACTATGTAGACAAAATGAACCCTTCTTCCTTCCACAGTTTGCTGCTTGGTGGACTGCGTGTGCTTTACCTCTTGGCCCAGGTCTTGGTGTCTTTGGCGGCTGTGTTACTGTTGTGTCTCCTGTTAAAATCCTCCATCATCGGACCTTTTTACAAGAAGCTGCACCACGAGAGTAAAGGAAACAAGGAGATCCTGGTGCTGGGAATGACTGCCTTTGTCTTTTTTATGTTAACGGTATGTGCTCATCACATGGCCATTATGCACTTCATTTAAATGGTTAATTTTAGCATTAGCCAAGCCAAATTGTTGATGTAGCATAATCTCACCAAGTTGAAAATTTTAATTTAAACCAGATTTATTTAAATTTGACTTAATGTTACTTGTGTGTTTTCTGCAGGTGACGGAGTTTCTGAGTGTCTCCATGGAGCTGGGCTGTTTCCTGGCTGGAGCTCTGCTGTCGACTCAGGGTCACATGGTCACGTCTGAGGTCATGGGCTGTATCGAACCCATCAGAGACTTCCTCGCCATCATCTTCTTTGCTTCCATTGGTTAGTGATAGTAATATTAAATACAAATTTCTTACTCAAGAGACACTATTCCTGCTAAAGTTTTATTATTTTTCATTTGACCCAGTATTACATTTCACCTTAAGTACTGCAATTAATGGTTATTTCATTTAATCTATTTGCATTCATTGTTTCTGACACATTCTTAGACCAATCAAGAATCAATCTCCCCTACCCGTATGCCAATTCAACTGTAATTTGAAGATTTTAGCAGGATTTGTCAAGATCCAATTCCTGTACTGCTTTATTATTCTTTCAACCAAAAAATATTGCTTTTGAACCACTTAGTAATATGATTATGGAGCATTAATTTGTCTTCTTCTGTAACTAATTGTTGTTTCTTAATATTTTAGGTCTTCATGTATTTCCAACATTTGTGCTGTATGAGCTGACTATACTACTAGTGCTGACCCTGTCCCTGGTGATTATGAAGGTACTCTTAAACTTTATATTTTTTTCTCTAAAGCATTAATTAAAGCATTCATCATTCTTAACACTTTTTTCATCATCTTCTACAGTTTGTCATGGCGGTTACAGTGCTATCAGCCATCTTGCCTCCTGGCTCCCGACACATACGCTGGATAGTTTCAGCGGGTTTGGCGCAGGTCAGCGAGTTTTCCTTTGTTTTGGGGAGCCGTGCCAGACGAGCAGGAATCATCTCCAGAGAGGTCAGTGTATTTATATTTTCTCATAAAACTGTGAAGCAGCCTTTAGGATTTAGAGAGGCACTTGATGTCATATAATCTCATAACTACACCCACTGGAATCATGTTTTTTAGTATTTATATTCAAGCATTAATTTATTTATCTCTCTTACTGGAAACAGAGGACAAATATTTCTATATATTAAAACATACTTATGTATATATTTCTATACCAAATAAATAAAACACAACAATATTTACATAGAACCTGAACAACCTTTTGTTAAGGACCAGTTGGAGAGAAATTATAAGTAGTACATATCAAAATAATGCACTTGGTCATCTTACAAAAACACATTGTAAGCTTGATAGAATAATACTTGTTTGTGTTCAGATCTACCTCCTCGTGCTGAGCGTCACTACTCTGAGTCAGCTCCTAGCTCCTGTCCTCTGGCGAGCCACCACTCACATCTGGGTCACACGAGCTGAACGCAAAACTGTCACGTGACAAAAATGTATTCATATCCAAAAATGGTACAAAGGATGAAGTGCACAAGCCTCGTAAACGGGACTGGTTTGTATCTTAGAAAAACCTGAATGAAAGTGTTATAAAATGGACCATATTTAATCTTTCTGTGCCTCAAACAGACACTACATTGCCTTGTTTATTTATATATTTGTATTATAATATTTAGAGCAGTGAAGCACATGAGATTCTGGCATTTTTAATGTATGTTTAAAAGGCCTGTACATGACTTTGAACCTTTTGTGAAGAAGAAAAAACCTGGATGAACTGTTAGCCCACTTACTTTTTTCACTCTCATGAAGAAACAACTGTCTGAGGTAGTCACTGACTGTTTTTTCATCCAGGAACATTACTTAGTGGTTAAAATTGTTCATTCCTCACTGTTACTTTGTTTTAGTTCTTATCCAACAAAAAAGCCATGTATAGGCAATATCATTCAGTTTACCTTTTTTCTCAAATAGCTGCTGTTTAGTTCACTGTATGGAGTAAAGGGTGTCTTCTTGAACTGGAAGAGATAAAAGTTTGGCAAGTTTTGGTAAAGTTATGCTCTTTAAGATGTTTATTTATTGATTAGTTACTGCTTTCAGTTTTACTGGCTTGTATTTATTTGTCATGGACCAAATCGTAAAGTACTGACTGTTTCTTACTGTTTCTTTTTCGCAATTTGCACATTGTATGGACAGTAGTTATTTTTTTAACCCCAAATCTCTTGTTAACATTTCCCATGTATTGCATTATATGTATTTATAATGATACATTTTTTTGAGAAAATGAGCGAAGACAAATAATAATATAATGATATATAAATGATTTGATTACAGTGTTCCTTGGTGACTGTTTCTGAGTAGAATTTCTTACAAATATCTTTTTTTTTTTATTTTGTGCAATCAGTGGAAGAACTTTATGAAGAAAATAGTGTATGGAGGTGCAAACATTGTATTTTACTGGTACATTTATTCATGCAGTTCATTTGAAACACTGTAAGTCTCATATTTTTTTTCATACAAGCCTGTGTCTGAAATCTCCTCCTCTGTCTCGTATCAATAACGTCAAGTGATCCTATCTCTGCTGTCTCTTCATGGTTTACACACTGTACTGTTAGTGAATGGGTGACTGTAACAGTGCATTTTAAGCACAGCAAAATAATTTATTCAAAATGTAAAACTAAATCATATTTTTATTAAAACTGTGAAATGTTTGTTTTATACCCACACATAATTATTTCATGTAATTGCTATTGCAGGTCATTTACATATTTACCTATTGTCTAAATATGATGGAGTATGTGATGAACACCAGCCTATAAAACACACCTATGAGAAAAAGACTTGTGCACTGGGCATTCTGACATTATTCTATGTGATTAACCTCCATCAATTTCTGTTTGCTCCTTGGATAACTTTTCATAGTGATCTCTAGGTCCAAAAAGGAACATCCCACAGACACTATATTCTTTTCGAGAGGCTCTGAACCAGTCTCCTTGTAATTCCAATGGAAAATAATTTTTCTGAAAATCTTACCATTATTTACAATATTCACTTGCGTTATGTTAATACATTTTCCTAGTGGTGCCATGATATAAACTTGCTGTGACTCTTGCACATGTACAACAAAATAAGGCCCAATAAGGACTAAACTGAGACTAAACCTAAAAAAAAAAAACTAAACCTGGATTAGACCAAGGCTAAACAAGGACTAGAACAGCACCAAAACCAAAATCTACATCAGGATGTACAATCTCTGGGCCCAAACCACCACTAAATAAGTGTAAATGTGAACACACTCTATTAATTTGGTTCAATCCAATCAGTAGTCTTTAACTCTTTACCTGAAAATTTACACTTCTCTTTACTCTTTTTTTCATGACATCAATAATAAGCTGCTTAGAAATGATTCTAAATTGCCTTATGTGTTGGTTGCTGTGTCCTACGCAGTGGTGGAGTAGTAAAGTACTGTATAAGTAAGTGAGTATAAATTTTAGGTATCTGTACTTTATTTAAGTAGATTTTCAAGCGGATAATTTTTACTTTTACTTCACTACATTTGAGAGAAGGTATCTGTACTTTCTACGCCACTGGACTGTAAATTAAAAGTTTTTTTTGTTATTTATTATTGACTTGCTGAAAAGCCTGAGGGGTTTATTTTTTACACATTTGTAGTTTGAACAAACAAAAATATACAAATAAAAACAGCTATAACAAAATTAAGCATAAATCATTATATTTGAAGCTTTGTTAGTTCTCAAAATCTGCATTACGTTTACTTTTTAAACTGGTACTTTAATACTTTTACTTAAGTAGATTTTTTCTGTGATACTTTTACTTTTACTTAAGTATTTTTTGCACTGGTTTCTGTAGTTTTATTTAAGTAACAACACTGAGTACTTCTTCTTCCAGCGCTGGTCCCGTGTCTGAGTGAGTTCACATGCGGGTACACATGAACACTTTAAGCTGATCAAACCAAACTGCTCCATCAGCGCATTCATGAGAAACCTCCTCATCCTATTACAGAGCACTGGGAAACTCTGAGGCACTCTGCTTGCCTGGATTGTCCCACAGTACGGCATACATATATCTTTTGTTTAGTTAGAGGTGCACTATGTACCATCTCCATGAAGAAAAGCATCTGACGGGCCCTCCACATGAAAAATGACACGATGCACCTTTAATTGTAGGTGCTTTTGTTACATCACCTTTCCACACATCTTACCTGAAGCTTGGCCTGGTGGATCTGCCTGTCTCCATGGAAATAAATAAGTTTAATGCCATACTGTGAAACATTCTAGACATTCCAGTTATTTGTGTTAACAGTATGTTTGAAAGACACAGTGTCACAATGCTAATGCATGCAAAGCCCATTTAATCCAGAATCGAAGGAAGAATCAACAACTTTTTTTTACTTTATTAAAATAATTTAGACAAAGTTTATTTTAAGATTTATAAGTTTGCAGTTTGTCACATTGTGTAACTGGCACAAAACTGACAACATTGTGAAAAACAGACCTAATATAATAGTTAGGGGAAATGTCTTTTAATGCACGTAATTTTCATATAATTTCTTAGCATTATATTAAATTTAAAACACGCATCGTTTAACTTTAGATATGCAGTATTTATCTTAATTTCATAGTTACATTTACAATAATTGAGTATTTAACTTTCTGCACTAAGATCGAAGACCACCTTTCCTTCGTAGGGGTCGTGGATGTTTTGATAGCTGATCACATCGGAGACCACTCTGCACTCGATCTTGGCCTCTTTCTCCTTCACCAAGTTGAACCGAACTGCCACCAGTGGGTTTACATAGTTGGGCTGCAAAAAAAAAACATAAATATAGTATGTTCATTATTAAAGGTGTATTGAGTAACTTTTCTGGTAGAGGATCAAAGTCAGATGCTTTTTCATATGGGGATGTTATAGCTTTCTCTGGAATGTTTCACAGTATGGTATTAAACTGTTCTGTTGTCACGGACACCAAACCAAGACCAAGTTATAGCTTATATCTGTGGAGAGGCAACCCCACTTAAAGTCAGAATGGCATTTTTAAGCTATAAAACCTGTAATTTAATAACTGTAGGTAGAGCTGTTTAATGTCATACTGTGGAACATTACAGGCAGAGTGATGACATATCCATAGAAAAAGGCAGGTGACAGACCCCAAACCAAAAAGTTACATAGTGCACCTTTAATATTACTGTCATATTCATATAGTAGAAGTCTTTACCTGGGCCAGTCTGCCATAGTAAGGAAAGTAGGAAAGATCCATTGTTCCATTCTTAGGGAAGTACTCAATGTTTTCCACATTTTCCTCTCCATCCTAAAATATATATATACACAACATTTCTAAATGATTTGTGTTTTACAATAATAAATGTTGTATTGATTTGGGCAGGACTTACCAGTATGGTGCAGTTTACATACGGAGCAACCCCAGTTATATTTGAAGGCAAGAAGTTGATGATCTGTAAAAACAACATAAAAGTTACCTAAAGTTTTGTTCTTCTTTATTATATTTAGTAAAAACATGTCTGACAAGAACCAGCAACAGTTTTATAACTCAGGGGTCTCCAACCTATAGCTCAGGAGCTACCAGTAACTCTCCACCCCCATCCAAGATTTTGAAATTATACCACTGTGCTGAATAACCAAAATTTGGTTAATTATGTGCCTATTACCATTGTAAATGTATAATTTTGAATCCCAAATTTGTGCACTAATAAATGGACAATGGTTTATGTTTATTTTATTGTTTTATAATCATCTCAATTTCTTGCGGCCGCTAAAATGAGTAGCTCTCTGGCATTTTTGTTTTGTAGACACAGCTCACCGGAGGAAAAAGGTTGGAGACCCCTGCTCTAACTCATGACACCAGTCCTAAAGTATACCTACAGATTTAGAAATAAGCGAATGGACGTGGTCGGCTACAGTAGTTGTGTGGAGTGAATGAAAAATGCAATGTAAAATGCTCTGGGTGTCTTGAAAGGTACTAAATAATCTAATATTTGATTAATATTCTCATTATCCTTATTCTCAAAACTGTTTGAAAACCACTACACTGAGATGCTGTTCATTCACTGAAATCCTGTCTGTACTGACCCGGTTCATTTTGATGATAACGCAGGGCATGGAAGAGTTGTATCCAAAAGTGGGGTCTTCTAACCCAGAGCAGGGCCCGAGCATGCTCTGAGTGAAGGGGCAGGAGCATTTGGTATGATTATGACCTGTGAAATGTGACTGGATGAAGTACTTTCCTTTGGTGCAGGTGACGTTGTTCACGATTAGCTGTGTCGTGTCATTGTACGCTGCAAAAGAGTTATGAATGCACTGTGTCATTGTAAAGCAGATATTTCACTTGATGTAGCATAGATAAGAATAGTAAATCCAACTGACGTTCAAGGAAATGTCGAAGGATTGTTGCCATCTTCTTCCAACTTTTCTTGTCTGAGGAGTTGTATGAGATTTCAACTATCTCCTCCCCGTAAGTGTCAGGCCACACCATCACCCCTAAAATAATATACAGTGTAATATGGTTGGTTATTGGGACATGTGGATTGTCAAAGTTAATGTGACTTAGTGTGGCATTACCTGGAGATTTGAGTCGATCTTGATAGTCAGGCGCGTATGGGGATAAAGTGTACATGAGCACGTAGATGGCCAGAGAGAAGAGAGCGGTCATCACAATGTAGAAGGCCACATAGTACAAGCTGATGTAGACTGTAAAAGGTAAAGATGACAATTATAATTATTTAAAAAAACTATTACAGTATTTTTTACTATTTTCTATTACTTTATACTTTACTTTATTTATTGGATCCCCATGAATCTTTACTGGGGTAAAGACTATTTTTCCTGGGGTCCAATTTGGAACAATTTATAATAAAATTGTTAAATCAGGAGCAGAGACTTGGATGCAAATGAGTCATTTGGTTATTACGTTTAATTTGACATGAACTTCACTCAAAAAAAGATTTTTTAGACATTTAGGTTGAGCCAAAGCAAATATAGATTGGAAGATTAAAAGACACACTTATTTGAAGGTGTGCGATGTCATTTTTCTAGTGGAACATGGAGATGTTATTTCCAACAGCATTGAATTAAACATTTTCCATGGCAATAACCAGGCCATGTTACAGTCCAGATCTGTGGAGAGGCGAACCATCTCACAGTAAGAATAGGACAAGTCAAGTCATAGCTCATATAATTCATTTTTAAAAATCTACTTTTTGTTTAGAACCAGCATTGATGCTTTAGAGTTAAAAACATAGTTCCTACCCCATTTCACAGGTGTCCTCCCCATGAAAGTCCCATTGTCGGAGTTCCAGACAAAGTGACCAAAATCCTCGCAGCGCTGCCCACAGGTTCGCTTCTCCTTCAGTGTTGCCATGCTGACTCTCTCTGCTCCTTCAGTGCCTCCGAGGTAGAATTTGAGCACTTATTTCTTAGCTTCTCCCAAAATTTCCCAGCTCTAATAAATAATCTTTCATTTCATTTTCTCATAGTTGAAGTACTGTGTTCTCCCCAGAAGTCCTCCGGAGAGTGAGGAGTGTTATCAGATTCAGACTTTATATGGGCAGATAAGTGTTCTGTGGTCTCTTAACTGTAAAGTAAACTTTCGCCATCAACATCGATGTCCCAGGCACCTTGAGGAAACCTTTTAACAGAAGTGGATGACTGATTTGAGATTTTATGCCTTTGTTGCGTCAATGCACGTGCAAACCTGGGTGAAAGTCATTTAAATAAAGTTTGGGTCATGCCATTAACAGTTTAACGTTAGTTTAAAGATGCACTGTATAACTTTTCTGATGCAGGGTCTGGTGACTTCTGTATCAAGATTAGCTTTGCCTATGCTTTAGTATGGCTTTAAAAGTTGCATTTCTTCTTTATGTTTAATGCCATACAGTGGAACATTCCATGGAAAGAAATAACATCTAAATGGGTACACCAAAACAGTGGCAAACCTATTTGAAAATTTACAAAGTTGATCTTTATAAAACTTTACATTAAACATTAAACATTTGACTATGTTTAAATCCAGGCTCAAAATGATTCTGTATAGCTGTGGATGACTGAAATGTTTATATTCTGCGCTCTTCTCTTATAAAGTAAATTTTATGATGATTATTTATGTTTTGATTTGTTTGTATTGTGATTTCTTTCTTGTTCTATAAACCACTTTGAATTATTTTGCTCCTTTGTACCTCGCCTTGCCTATGAGGAGAGGAGTCGACGGGGGGACAAAGGTATCTATTGCCCCAAAGTCTTAAAGGCCCAGAAATGAAACCTCAGCTTATTAATTTACCGTATATTAGAGAGGGGGCCCATGTGAACCTTGTTGCCTCAGGCCTGCAAATTTCTGTTGACGGGCCTGATTATGAGGGTAAATCTCTACCAAAATTAAAACGAGTGAGTCTTCTCCATTGGTTCTCTGCTATGGCATTTCTTTGAGACTCCATTAACCCAACCGCGTCATGACATGGGTGAGCTGCAGCGGATCAGCTTTATAGAGGGGATAAGTCCCTGTGGAGAAAGCTGATGAGACAGGCAGAAACGCATATTTGTTCCACAGACGTCTCTCAGGTCTATCTATTGAGTTTCTATGCACATGACAGAGTCTACTTGAGAAAACTTCAAATATTTAAGCTTTTATTAATTCTCATCTTTTAAATTGAGTTTGACAGCGTGTTAGCATGGATATAGGTGGCCTCACTACTGTGGTTGCCAACTCCGCTTACATTTCAGCCCGTGGAAGTTTTGATGGTAGCACCAACCCTGCTGCCAATCGGGACAAGAGGTACCACTCGCGCCTCAAGTTGCCCCATATTACAGTCTGCGAGGGTCTTAGAGAGACATTGGACTTGGGTTTTCAATCTGTGTGTGTGGATCAACCAATTGGCAAGAAGCTTTTCCAGGAGTTTTTGGATTCTGCTCCGGAGTACAAGGGCCCCTGTCGTCTATGGAAAGATATAGAGGAGTACAACTTGGCAGAAGATGATGAGCGTGTACAGAAAGCGAGTAAGATCCTGTCCCGTTACATGGAACCAAATGCAAAGTATTTCTGCCCCTTTTTACCTGAAAATGGGATCACGAAAGTCAAAGAGAAGCACAAGGAGGCAGGAGATGAGCTGTTCAATGAGACAATGGACAGTGTAATGGACTTCCTGAAGGAGGTGCCATACACGTTCTTCTTGGAGAGCATGTTCCTCAAGAGGTTCCTCCAGTGGAAGTGGCTGGAGATGCAGCCTGTGGATGAGGACTGGTTTGTGGACTTCAGAGTTCTGGGGAAAGGAGGCTTTGGAGAGGTGTCTGCGTGTCAGATGAAGGCGACGGGTAAACTGTACGCCTGCAAGAAACTCAACAAGAAGAGGCTGAAGAAGAGGAAAGGCTATGAGGTACGGATAACACTGAAGATGCAATGCACAATACAATACAATATATTGGTTGTTTCTGAGATGGGGGCAGGAGGCAATTTTTTGTGTGTTTGCTGCATTGTATTGTATAGAAAAAGAAAGTCCTAAAATGAAAATTCACATTACCCCATATCTGTACATGCACATTATTCATGGCACCCATCTGCAGCCAATCAATGACTGCTATGATACAGATTTTCAGAGGGTGACCAGATTTTCAAAATCAAAAACTGGGACAATCCCAGTTTGGAATGGTTGGTAATAATAAAATTGTAAAAAGAGTGCGTACTTAAGGAACATTGTTCTGCTGTACCATGTAGACCAGTATAGTCATATTTTCTTTGTGTTTTGGTCATTTTTAAGCAGCTTTTCTGTATTTCACCTAAACAAATTACATTTTATGCCTCTCTTTACTGTTGGCAGGTATCAAATTTGTCAAAAAAACAACAACACGGACATCAGGGGCATTTTTTGTATAAAACTGGGACAAATCAATGGTTTTGTATAAATCTGTTGGGACAGGGGACACAGGACTCAAAACTGGGACTGTCCTGGGTAAATAGGGTCATCTGGTCACCCTACAGTATCACTAGCTGCCAGTATGGATTGCCTGCCCCATTCAAAACATGCATAAAAAAGGAACACTCACAGACTGAAATTGTAGCCTAACTTCAAATATTCCCATGGGTCCTGTTTTTTGTATTTATTTTAGCAAAGATGATACATGTTTGGACTTAACTATATATCAAATGATAGCCTACTGTTCTTGTATCAAAAATACTCACCTAAACTTTGTGATCCACACTATAAAAACTGTAGATGCCAGTTGTACGTAGCCCTATAGCAGTTTGAAGAAAGAAAACATCTTGCTATATTGGCCTAGCTCCTTAATTTTATTGAAGACCCGTGTTGTTCCTGTGTTGTCCTGTAGGGGGCGATAGTGGAGAAGAGGGTCCTGGCCCGGGTTCACAGCAGGTTCATCGTGTCTCTGGCCTATGCCTTTCAGTCCAAAACAGAGCTGTGTCTGGTCATGACCATCATGAACGGGGGAGACCTCAGGTGAGACATCACAGAGTGCAGGTCATACAGGTTTTTGTCCACGTGCTCACGAAATAAACTTATTTTTATGGCTGTGCAAAATGAAAATGTGCTTACAAGTAAAATGTTGAGAGCAGAAAACAAGGTTACTCAGTGGTAGTAGCCTGAAAGAGATGCATGTCAATTATTTAAAATCAAATTGCTTTACATTTGAATCTTAATCAGACAGAAAACTAAAAGAGTAAATTGTGTATGCAGACCTTGAAACCATAGGAAAACTTCTTTAACAAATATCAAATATATAAAATATATAGGACAACACCCCTTTTTGCCCCCCTTCATTTCTGGTTGGAGCAACCTTTTGTTTTATTCTAAAGACAATAACCAAATGTATTTGTCTGCGGTGTCTTTCTCTGTGATATTTTCCAGGTATCACATCTATAATGTGGATGAGAATAACCCAGGCTTTGACGAGCCCAGAGCCTGTTACTATGCAGCTCAGATCATTCAGGGTCTGGAGCATCTGCACCAGAAGAGAATTGTCTACAGAGACCTCAAACCAGAGAACGTGCTGCTGGACAATCAAGGTCTGAGCGTCATAGAAACTCCCACCATAAGATCAATACACAACATATTCAGATAATTGTATCTAAACATATTATCTGAGCTTTTTGCTTCACTTGCTTTGGCATAACAAACTATTGGACCAGAACCAGTTGTCGGCGGCTGCACTATATAACCTTTCCGTGGGTAAAGGTCTGCCCCCTACTGTCTCCATGGAGATGTTTTGATTGAAATGTTCTAAAATTTTTCACATAATGGCATTAAATGTATCTATCGTCTCCACGGAGGCAAGCAGATAACGACACAATGCCAAACAGGTTGAATCTATGGAAAGCTGACCTCTCCTACAGTAAGATATTATTTTTAGGTGACTGATGGTTTTTATTCCTTCACCTAATTGTCTCAATGCAGATAGATACGGTTAATGCCATACTGTGGAACATTTCAGGCACAAGGTAAAGCATCTCATTGAAGACAATCAGATGGCAGACCCTCTACCAGAAAAATTACACATTGCACTTTTAAATTTAGTTTTTTCATACCAATTATTTACAGAAGTTGCCGCTTGTTTTGTCCTGCTGAAAACCTTCACAAAATGTCAGATCCATTGTGTTCAAGTGTATTAATTAAATTCACACAGTCAACTGACGTTAACTGTGGTTGTACTACCCATATTTTATCTCTAGTTTATCTCCCTTCAAGCCAAGGTCATCTAAATGATGTGTTATCAAAGCAGTGAAAAACATGGTAGTGCTGTAGATTGGATCAACATTGGTATCTCAGATTGTTTGGTGTTTGTTTTCAGGAAACGTTCGTATCTCTGACCTTGGTTTGGCTGTGGAGCTGGCAGATGACCAGACCAAAACCAAGGGCTACGCTGGAACGCCAGGTGCAATTTAATATTTATTCAACAAATGTGACAGGCCCAACTAGAAAAAACCTCTTTCCATATAATAATCTTCATATGAATTATTTTTCAAGTTGTGAATGCATTGTGTTAATATATTTTATTCCATTTTTTTATGTTTAATATAATGTTTAATCTGGCAGCCTATGGCCGCATACTGTAATAAAGACAGCAAAAAGGAGCATTATGTAACTTTTCATTGAGGGTCTGCTACCTGCTTATCTCATGGAATCTTACTGCTTTGCCTGGTATATTACACAATATAACTTTAAACCTATCAGGAGACAAGCATTAGCACCACCAAACCAGGTTACAAGTCAGATTTGTGGAGAGAACTCACTCACACACATTTCTGTAGCTCCTCCTTGAAACCACATTGTTGTATTATAGTTCTTTTTATAATATCTAATTTCATGTGTCCTATTTTCAGGTTTTATGGCCCCGGAGCTGCTCAAAGGAGAGGAATACGATTACTCTGTGGACTACTTCACTTTGGGAGTGACTCTGTACGAGTTCATAGCCGCTAAAGGACCCTTCAGGACCCGAGGAGAGAAGGTCAGATTTGAATAGGGCTGTGTGATTAAGAGAATTTAGTTATCGTGGGTTTACAATTATGACCTCACTCAATACAAAAATGTGTAGTCATAATCACAAAACTGTACTAAAAGATGAGTACTAGGCAGTTTATTTTTTCCAATGGGCTAATCTGTGACATTACATAAATAATTATGTAATATAATTACAAAAACACAAAAAAAAATCCACTTCTGTCTTTTTAAAGCTGCTTTGTTGACAACTTTTCAAATGCTCTGTACACAAAGTCAGTGTTACCCTCTTGTGGTTGCTTTTTGAAATTACATCTGATGATTACAGATTCTTTTTCTTTCCACAAATGCAAACTGATTTACAGGCCAATAATTGGTAAATACAACAATGTGATTTAACTGATCAAAAAAAAGCCATTGTCATGCGCTTATCAATACATGGTGTGTAAATTGTAATTCATTATGTACAGGGTAGCCGTGGGTTTTAAAAGTCTAAAATTATATTGTCCAAATCTTATTTTTTCACAAATGTCTTCAATTTCATTAGCATATTTTTCTGTATACCCAACCGGTCTGTAGTACAATGTTAAATGGAGGGAGAGAAAAAAAAAACAATGTGAAATCACATGAATGAACGTCTAATTTGGAGTATATGCAAACAATACTTTGGTTTGTGGCGCCGGCGGCAATGAGTCAAGAGTCAGTGCAGTGGAGGAGGATGTTGGATGGATCTTGGGGAAGTGTAGGTTTAGTCCACAGTGGCTCTTAGATTCTAGATTTAGTACCATAGTTGGTTGATCATTATTATAGAATTGGATCTGGTGTTTTCCCCGCATAATGGGTGCGATGTTGGTCTTAATTTTCATTTAAGTGGTCTTAAAAAGGTCTTTAAAAAGGTCTTTAATTTGGGGTAGTCAAACCTGGGGATATCCTGTATGTATTACCTGATGTTAGTTACTAGAATAGCAAAATCATTTAAATAATAATCTATCATTTACATCCTTATATGTTTCCTCATTGATCCTTGACTGTCTCACATTTTTGCATTTGCAGGTGGAGAATAAGGAGGTGAAGAAGCGCATTTTAAACGATCCTGTGGTGTATCCAGAGAAGTTCAGTGAGAGTGCTCGCTCCGTCTGTGAGGCTCTGTTACACAAAGAGGTCGACAAAAGACTCGGCTTCAGGAACAACTCGTGTGATGAGCTCAGGGCCCAACCCTTTTTCAAAGACATAAACTGGAGAAAACTCAATGCAGGTGGGTTTTAAACAATAATATGATTTTTTTTTTATTCCTTCATTGTTTTACTATTTCTTGTTTTTGCTAAACTTTATATTTATACTTTATATTTTATTCCTGTAGCTCATAAAACATTTTGGTCCTGTCTCTGTTGTTGCTCTATAAATAAACTTGGATTGAGTGAACATATTTTAAAGGTGCACTATGTCACATCTGCTCAGAGTAATATTGTATGTATTTCACTGGATTAAAACACCAGTAATTGAATAAAAACAAGATTTCATGATTCTTACTCCACTAACTTTAGGTATTTTTTCATTGTCATGCGTAATTAATTTGATACTTGTAAGCGAAATATTTCCCTGTCATAGTGCTTATATTGTCTCTCTTATATTGTCTTATATTGTCAAAAGTCCTCCAGCCGTAGTAGTCCAGACCTTAACCTTCTTTCCTTTTCCAGGGATCCTTCCACCTCCTTTTGTGCCAGACTCCAAAACTGTTTACGCCAAAGACCTGGATGATGTTGGGGCGTTTTCCACAGTGAGGGGGGTGCAGCTGGATGACAAAGATAAGAGTTTCTTTGACGAGTTTTCTACTGGGAACATCTCCATCCCGTGGCAGGAGGAGATGATTGAGACAGGGATCTATGGCGAGCTCACGGTCTGGGGTCCGGGGGGCACGCTACCCAACGACCTGCGGCGAGAGTCCATCCTGGAGCAGCCCAAGTCCTCTACATGCTCTCTGTCATGAGGAAGCACTGAGCATTTTAAGTGGACTACTGGAAAAAACAAACAGGCACTTTTGTATTTTGGTGTATGTCATAGTATTTTTTTTCCCCTGCTGTGTAAAGAACTGTATAGAGCTAACAGAGATTCAAAATGATCTTTATAGTTTATTTTTCAATTCATGTCAAGTTAATAATAAGATAACAGTTGTGTCAATTAGTATAATCTTGCAACTCCATGTACCATTCTTATTATTATTACTTTTAAATGTATTTTGGTTAAGACATTGATTATGCTTTTCATATCTTCTGGTGGGACTCAGACAGCTCTTCAGTTTATTTCCCTAATTTAAAGTCAGTTTCATTCTGTCATTTCTGACCTCATTTTTGGGTAGAACTACTGTGATATTGATGTAGTCCACTTTTAGACCCAGTTTAGCCCTAGATTATACCTGAAATATTTCTATGATATGATACTTGATGGGAAGAGTTTTAGAGCCACTCTCAACTGTAATATCTTTAATAAAACCAAACCATTACTACACATTTTCCTCAGTTTTCTATACATAAATAATAATAATAATAATAATAATTGCATATTAATGTAATAATTCAAAATTAAGTTTTCAATGTGAAGTCCTAAAACATAAAAGGTTAAACCAGTGTTAAATAAAATTAAACAAACTACATGAAGAGTATTGAGGTCTGGTCAAATAAGGTGTTATAATGTCATCTCAAGTTTCTAAATTTTGCCCAATAGAGGGCGCTCTGAGGCTTCTCCCCTCAGGGCGGCAGATCCTCAGGTTTACGTACTTGTGACTGTACTACGTTAAATTTACACTTTACAGTTGTAACCTGAAGTACTAATAACCTAATTGTCAACACGATCACAAATGATACCATTAGTTCTATAGAGCAGCTCAGTGCGCAGGCTGCTACAGTAATAATTTATGTTCCAGGTGAACGCAGCTGAATCCTGCTCGCTGATTGGTCGCTCTCTCCCTCTCCGTGCCTCGCGCTCAGGCTTCACTAAACTTCTCATCTCACTCGACCTGGGACACTTCCACACCGAAGATAAGCCTGTCTTTTTCAGTCATGTTTCTCACATAGATTAAACACATTTGGAGATCTGCTGCAGAGGAGGATGAGGGCTGAGTGATTCTCGAGCGCAAAAATAAAACTACGCATTTTTGTATTCAGAGCTTTTTCAAAATGCCTCAACCAGAAACTCCCCCAACTCAACAGGCTCAGGCTCCTCCTCGGCCAGATGCAGCCGAGCCACTGGACTCTGAAGGTAAGATACGCCAGCTCAAAGTCAATTAGACTCTGAGATTGCTACTTCAGTTGTAATGAAGCCTAAAATTATAAATCTCATTACACCATGAAGGCCTATGGGATATGATTATGGCATTTCATTCATTAAAGATGCACTATGTAACTTTTCTCAGAATTTAATGTTCCACATATGGCATCGTTTGTGTGTGTGACCTGTAACTCAACCTGGTGGTGCCACTTGCTTTTCTCAATGGATACAGATTAGTTTAATGCTATTGTTTCTCAGACTGTAACATAGGCAAAGCAATAACATCTCGAAGCAGGTGACATACACTCCACCAGAAAAGTTACATAATGCATCTTTATTTGATGGGCACATACTAGGCTACCATCACAATGTTACAGAAAGCTGCAATTAAAAACAACATTTCTAAATCATTCCTAAATTCATGTATTGTTCTGTATGTGTTCAGTTTTCTTTCCCTCTAATAACACTATTGAATCCTTCTGTCCCTGTAGCCCAGTACTACCGTCGGGGCAGGACTGCCCTGTGGGTTACCATGGCGCTGCTCATCCTGTCTCTGATGGTGCTCACGATCGGGTTCCTCGCCGCCACTCGCACCTCCAATGTGAGCGTGGCAGGATTTTACTCCGGCATTACAGTACGTCTCATAAAAACACTTAAAGACACCAAATTGATTTATACAAACATTAAACAATAACAACACAATCACAAAAAGAAAACAAGATGCAACTAATTAAAAATAAGAGAACAAAACAACCACAAGCACACACTTTCTGAGCAAGCTTGCCTCTCCACAAATCTGTCCTGTAACTTTGTCATATGTCGTCACTGTCTGCCTGTTTTCATGGAGGTATATACATTTATTGCAGTACTGTGGAATATTCTAGGATAAGCAATGTCATCTCCATGGAGACAAGCAGATGGTGGGACCTGCAATAGAAAAGTTAAACAGTGAGGCTTTAGATCACTGAGCCTAAATCACTTTTTTATCACTTACTATTCCCTTACTTGCTTAATTACTTTTTATTTACCATTATATTATACTGAGTTTAAATTCCCTGAATGCAGTATATAACATTTATCTTAAAATGCAAGATGATGTGAAATGTAATTTTTTTGATCTATAGATTACAATTTTTACTTTTCTATATTATTTTATACATTTGCTATTGCTTCTCATTTAAAAAAATAAAAAAAGTCTACTAGTCATACAATGTTTACCCATGTTTTTAATCTTTTTATATTTGTGCTTTTAGTTGAGTTTTGGAGCATTTCTTGGCGTCGTCGCTCTTCATCTCGTAGAAAACCGCCGTCCAATGGTGAGTGCAACAATGTCATTTCTAACACCATGAATAAACATTAATTCAACACTAGGGTTTTCTAGATGGTAACTAATCTTGGAAATAAGTGGAAAAATTTTGGGAAATATGAGGACATGAAACAATCTGCTGGTGCGTTCTTTGTGTCAGCATCTGGCATATAAACCTAAGACCAATAAGAACAAGATTGCACATTAATCTATTTGGAAAGTGTTTTGCTATAGCATTTTGTTTGTTAAAGATAAAATTTTCTGGTTATCAGTCCACCATCTGCTTATGTCTATGCAGATAGTTTCACATTGCCTGGAATGTTCCACAATATGACATTAAACTTACACCACCAGTCAAAAGTTTGGACACATCTCATTAAATGTTTTTTCTTCTTCATTTTACTACTTTCTACATTTTGAACACATAAATATATCAAATTAATGATGTAAGATATAGGGAATTATGTAGCTAAGGAAAAAAAGTAACAATTAAAAAAAAAAAAAAATTACATTCAAAGTCACCCTTTACTTTGTTAAAAAAAAGTAGCTATTTAATTGTTTTCTTTACTACACGGATCCATATATCTTGCTTCATATATCTGATCTTCTGCATGCATATAAAAATGTACAAAGTAGTAAAAATAAAGAAAAAAACATTGAAGGAGATGGTGTGCCCAAACTTTGGTTGTGTATGTATCTTGCATTTTCTCAGATACAGGTGTTTGTATGCCTAAAAACAATAACAAGCCTGCACTCTAACTGTGTAGCTTGCATCTTCACAGATCTGACCTGTAACTTGGATAGTGGCTACTAGGATAAGCTATAACCTCTCCATGGAGATGAGCAGATGGTGGGCCGTCCAATAGAAAAGATAACAGTGAAGCTTTAAATTAGTAAAGAAGATAATTGTCCTGACTGGTACAAATGTTGTGTTATTGTTCTATCCAAATATATCTGTGTAATGGTTCCTGGTAACTAGTCCGTTATCTGAACTATATAATTACATTAGCAGGGACATAGGGCCGCTTCGATCAACAGGAAATCTGATTACTGTACTTATAGCCTTTGTTTTGAGGACACATGACCTGGAGTTGTGGTTTGAACAGGATTGGTCCAGGCCTCCAATGACACAGGGAGGAATTGGATTAATATTGGGTCGGGACATTTGTCTAAAAATGGGCATCAACATAGAGAGGGAGGGCCAGAAAAAGGCACTGAAACAACTCTCTAGTCTCGATCTATAGGCAGATATTACAGTTATAAGAAAATGGGACTTACATTGAAAACGAATTAGTGTGCAGATTCGTTAAAGCAACAGGAACTTTTCACCTTATTAGAACAACCCACCACATAGAAACCAACTTTTTATAAAATCTGTTTATCGTTAATTGAAATGGTCATATTTTCCTTCCATGTATGAAGTAGTAGTAAAAGTAAAAGAACACATAAACACAAAAAAAAAACAACTTACAGCTTGTACTATCTTCTGTCTTGTACTACTATTACTACAGCTTCTAAACATTTACATCTACTTCTTATAATATTTAACAAAAAAAAGACAATACATAAATAAATAAATTAATAAGATAAAAAATAAAATACAACACAAAACCCTCCTCTGTGAGACAGCATTAACTTACAATATTAATATTTCCCCAACTGAGATGTTACTTTATTTGCTTATTCAGAAAGTTTATTGAAAGCGTTTTTCATCACTATTTGCACAGCACAGTAGAACATAATATATATATTTTAACAACCTCAAACAATGAATCATATTAAAAATCTATAATGTAGGCCATTCTGATCCTATGTACAGTCCCTGACAAAAGTCTTGTCGCTTATCCATATTGTAGAAACAAAAGCTTATAACCTGACTTTAAATTAATCGACTGGTTTTAGAAATGTCTCATATGAAAGCTAAAACCCTCCCAAATTATGCTCAATATACTAAAATAAATTTGCTTCACTGAAGAAAGATTGATCATGTAATGAACACAGAAAGGTCAGATTTTGGCAAGACAAAAGTTTTGTCGCCTACAGAAAATTGAACAAATAATTTACTTCAAATACAAAAATATGTTGCATAACATCAGTGAATTAATTCGTGGTGCTGTGAGATCCATATTTAATATCTTGTATGACTTCCATGAGCTTGAAGGACTGCATCCATGCGGTTCAACAATGATTCATACAATTTGTTGATGAAGTCATCAGGAATAGCAAAGAAAGCGTCTTACATGCCTCCCAGAGTTCATCAAGATTCTTTGGTTTTGCCTTCCATGCTTCCTCTTTCATTCTACCCCAGACATGCTCAATGATGTTCATGTCTGGTGACTGGGCTGGCCAGTCCTGGACCACCTTGATCTTCTTCACCTTGAGAAACTTTGATGTAGAGATAGAAGTATGCGATGGAGCACCATCCTGCTGCAAAATTTGACCCCTTTTATGGTTGGGAATGTAAGAGGTAGCTAATACTTCTTGACATTTTAGGCTATTGATATTGCCTTCCACCCTGCAAATGTCTCGCACAGCCCCATACTGGATGGAACCCCAGACCAGGATTTTTCCGCCACCAAACTTAACTGTTTTCTGGGTGAATCTTGGATCCGTGAGGGCTCCAGTAGGTCTCCTGCAATATTTGCGGCGGCTGTGATGTAATTCAACCGAGGATTCATCTGAGAAATCCACCTTCTGCCACTTTTCCAGTGTCCATCCTTTTAGCAAGCTGTGGGCCTTGGCAAATGCCACACGTTTTTTTAATTGTCTTTTGTTTAGTGCTGGTTTCTGTGCACTGATTCGACCATGGAGGCCATTTCGAGACAGAATTCTACAAACTGTTGTGGTTGACACAGGGACTTGAGGTGACCAGGCCTGGTGGAGTCTGCTGCAGTGGAAAAGGGGCTGGCCGTGGATTTTCGAATCAACAAACGGTCCTTCCCGAGCAGTTGTCTTGCGGGGTCTGCCGGGACCTGGGCTTGTCAAAAACATCTCCAATCATTTCAGATCTTTTTCTTATTCTTTGTACTTGACGCTGAGACACATTGAAGGTGTCAACCACCTCAGCAGTGGATCTGGTCTTCAGCCTCTAGATAATTAACGCTTTGGTCTCAGGGTGGATCTTAGGCATGTTGTCAGAGGTCAAGTTGCAGTTGATGTGAAGGTCTGGTGTGCTGGGGTTCTTTTTATACACACCCACTAATTGATTGATCAGTAACTGATCACAGTTGAGGCTGTAATCTAGGATTGGGTGCATCATATGACAAGGCGACAAGACTTTTGTCTTGCCAAAATCTGACCTTTCTGTGTTCATTAAATGATCAATCTTTCTTCAGTGAAGCAAATTTATTTTAGTAGATTGAGCATAATTTGGGAGGGTTTTAGCTTTCATATGAGACATTTCTAAAAACCAATCGATTAATTTGAAGTCAGGTTATAAGCTTTTGTTTCTACAAAATGGATAAGCGACAAGACTTTTGTCAGGGACTGTATATGATCTCATTACATAACCATATCACTGGTCTGTCTAATTACTGTCCGTTGGTCCTTCGCCTGTACCTGTACCTGTTCCTGTTGCTGGTGCTACTTGAGTCTTTGTGTGTAGTGAATTTTTCATGTCCGTGTAGTCTCACATCATGCGGCTTGTGTTACCATGGCGCTGGAGCTGAAGCCAACTCTAAAGTGATGGATATAATGGTTTTCTATGTTTGAGATTTGGATGAGTTACAGGCTGTGGTTGGAAAGGTCCATGGGGGACAGTAATTAGTTTCACTTTTACAAAACATTAGACACAGCAAGTTTTGGTTAAAAGTGTACTTAAAGACTAAACTAAAGGCTTTGTTTCATTCTTCCTCTTTGCATCCGCTTTCCTAAAATCAACTTATTCTTTATTTCCCTTCACAAATAGGGCTGGTTAGCACAATTTTTTGTTTTTTTTGTTTTTTACTCCATAGAGATGTTATTACCAAGTGAAGCATTAAACTTGAGCAATTGACATATGTAAACTAATAAATTGATGAGAAAATGAGTTTAATGCTATAATGGAACATTCCACCAGAAAAAATTAGTGCACCTTTAAGAAATATTAGTAGGAGATCTTAACCTGAACTATTATTTTTAGTGCATACACATCTTTATAAATATATTTTATGTACTAGTGTTCATATTTCTTTTAGCAACTCGTGACATTATTGACTCCTTTGCAGCTGATGTTGTAGCTAACTTTAGATAATTAGACTTTAATCTGAGCTTTATTTAACGCAGTCTGACAATGGAGAACTGACTTAGTTGGAACTACAATAGGTGAGAATATCTGTGAGTTTAAACAAGTCTCTCACACAATCAAACACCTAAACAGGACCAAAAACACTCGTAATTGATGTGTTGTTTAAATGCATTCTGTATGTTTCTTTTATTCTTGCGGTTTTAGACTTATTGTAAAACTCTTTTGGCAGTGTTTGTTAATGTGTGCTTTGTCACCTTGGTTACTGCTGAACACTCTGCCAATAGAGACGCATGTAGAGCACCCCCAGCGTGTTGCCACTGCAAAGTATCAGCACCAACTGAATAATACCCATTTAAATTTTAATAATAAAACCTATTCAATGTCATAAGTAGAGTTAATTATGTAACTAAAATAACTTTTCATCAGTCTTCACATCTCGCTTTGTGGCTTAATTGTGTCAGTGTCTCCTCGCTGAATCTTTAATGTGGTGAAGGAGCAGAGCGTGAGTGTAGCAGGCCTCACAGGTGTCCTCTTCTTCTGTCTCTGAAACTGGAGACGATCAAAACCTACTCTCATTAAAGAAACAAACTGGACCGAACACAGACTCTGACACCTGAGGCTCCCGTCACATCACTTCCTGTAGCTCCACACCGCTGCCCTGTGACCTTACAACACCATTACACAGAGATGTTAAGGGAAAAAGACAAAGACTAAGACTTAGACTTAGACTAAGACAAATTTTATTGATCCATAAAGGTAATTATTTGGACACATCACAATATAAT